GCTGGGACTAGAACCGGCGCCCATATGGGATCCCGGGGCGTTCAAGGCGAGAACTTTAGCCGCTAGACCATGCCGCCAGGCCCACGTCTGCTTAGTTTCTTTTGTGCACTCATCTGCTAGTTCTCAGAGCCATCTTGGCTGATGACACATAAGGGGAGTCTCAGATGGTGGTCCCTCTGTTGGGGACCAGGACTCCACGTGTGACATCTGCACTGAAAATAACTTTGGGACACAGGGGGTGCACAGGCGAGATAAATCAATGCACACGCTCCATTGAATTTTTCTGGGCTTCTTATACCAATTTTTGCAGGACAAGCAAAAGTTGGTGAAAGTTGCAAGTTAACTGAACAATGATACACAAACCTACTCCAGCCATAGTTCACAAGGGATTAGGGGAGTCACCAGGCTCCAAGCAGCAGGATAGGTAAACATGAGTTACAGGAATCAACACTGGTGAATAGACGGATCTAACTAGAGGAGGAATCTAACACAACTTTGTACTCTGATACGTTTAGGCCATAATCACTGAAGGAAGAAGGAGATGATGAAGACGCCTCGCACGTGCCCAGACACCTTAGCTGTTAGCCAGCAAGGCTTACCCGCTATCCCAGCAAGGAGTCTGCTCTCTGCAGCATTCTCAGTCAGCTGAGAAGGGTTGAGATTCAGAGTACTCGGGCATCGGGATCTGGTTTGGGGGCAGATCTCCACGATTAATAAATCTCCACACAGGAGCACCAAAGCCTAAACCCTGATTTGCTGTCATCCAAATGAATTCTTGGTGGCATAGTGCATTAAGCTGCTGCTTGGGATACTCGCAGCCCTTACTGGAGCACTGGCTTGAATCTGCACTGTTCCGCTTTGGGTGCAGATTCCTACTAATGCGCCTGGGAGAGCAGCTGGTAATGGCCCAGGGACTTAAGTCCCTGCAGACCACATCAGAGAAGGAGATGGAGTTTTGGGTTCCTGGCTTTGGTCTGGCCCACCTTTGATAATTGTGGCCATTTGGGGTGTGAACCAGTGGATGGAATCTCTCTCTCTCTCTTCCTGCGTCTCTCCTTTGTTCCTTTGCCTTTCAAATAGAGATAAATACATCTTTTATTGGAAAAAATCATTGAATTTAGGGGATAAGGTTGTCCTCAGGGTCGAGCCTTTCCCTTTTCCCGTCTGCCATCTTTTGCCCCAGTACCCATTCCTGAGATGATACCATCCCTCAGGTGGGTCCATCCCCTGGGTGTTACCATCCCCTCAGGTGGGTCCATCCCCCGGTTGGTACCATCCTCCAGTAATACCATCCTCCTGGTGGAGCATTTTTCTGGGAGCAGGCATCCCAAGGAGTGCTGAGATAGCTGACCCAAGCAGTGGATGGTTGGAAGTTGGGGGCTTCCGGAACAACTCTTTATTCCCCCACCTCGCCCCAGCTTTGGTACTGCCATTAACGCCATGGGCGCTAGATGAGGCTGTGAAATCTTGGCGGGTGGCGTGTGTGTACGGGCAAGGAAACTGCTATGAAGACGCTGGCCTCCCTCCCCTTTGTTTCTTCAAGGGCTCCTCACAATGTCGGTGCTGGTTGTGGGGGCCTGGGAGGCCCCAGCAGGCTGTGGCAGGTTGTCGGTGTAGGAGAAACAGTGTGATCCTGTCAAACAGGGAAAGCATGTGCAGGAGACAGGCATGGGGCAAAGCTCAGAGAGTAAATGGACACACTCAGTACCGGCCAGTGAGTCAGATATAGATGGTCATATGTACGACGCATGCGCATACCCACAGAAAGGCTTAAAATGCTTTCAAACCGCTCATTTTCAAGGGCTTGCTTGTTTGAATAGCAGAGTGAGTTGCAAGAGCATAGGCCATCTGCTGAGTCACTTCCCATAAACTCAAAACAGCTGTGACTGGGTCAGGCTAGGAACCAGCCACTCCAGCGCGGTCTCCCATATGGGTGGCAGCCACTCAAGGACTTGGCCCATCCTCCGCTGCTTTCCGTGTGCATTAGCAGGATCAGAAGTGGAGTAGCTGGGACCCAAGACAGTGTTACAGTGTAGGCTAGCAGTGTCTGGAGTGGCAGCTGATTGTACCGTGCTTACCACCCTGCTCTGGTATGTCTGTCTTTGAGGCAGGAGTTTTCTCTCTAGGAATTTATCCTCAATACATAATTCTGTTGTTTTAATACATACTTACTGAAAAAAAAAAGGTGGAAAATTCTTTGGTTGCATCGGAAAATGTTTGAAAATTGGTGGGTGGGGTACAGAAGTATCTTTGCTCTTCACTGCCACAACATAATGCACAAGGCACGCTCTTTCTAAAAGAAAGCTTGGCTTCACAGCCCAAGATCAGGCAGCCCCTTTGCTTTGGCCTCCAGTCAGGGTGTCAGATGGGGATGGCGGTGCATGGGCGAAGCCAAGAAGCTGACAGAGGCCACACCTACCTCTGGCTTAGGACCAGCCCTCATGCCCTCCGTGACCTAAGGACCTGCCACGAGGACCCATCCCCCCATGCCATCATGGGATTAATGGTTTTACCCTCTTAATAGTTAAGTGCTGTTAACTTACAGCTTTGATGTTTAAATATCTGCTTGAGTTTGGGAGCCAAATTGTGTTCAAACTACAGGTTGTAATGCTGTATTATCCTTGTTTGTATCCTTGCTCAGAGAGCTTGTGAAGGAGTTGGTGCTGCTGTGGGAGGTTATGTCACCTCCTGTGGCACCAGCATCCCAATGGGTGCCAGTTCAAGTCACGGCTGCTCCACTTGTGATCCACTCCTGATAATGTGCTTGGGAAAGTAGCAGAACTTGGCTGATGTGACTATTTAGGGAGCGAAACAAGGATGGAAGGCTGGCTGTCCCTCCCCAGCCTGCTGGAACCTTGCCTTTCAGATCAATACATAAATCTTTGAGGGGTGGGTGAGAAGTTTATGGAGGAATGGGTTTTGGTCTGCCAGCAGTGGATCCTGTGCTCATATTGGAATCCCAACTCTTCCCATTCCGTTCCAACTTCCTGCTAATGCACACTCTGAGAAACAGTGGAGCGGGGCTCCCGTGCTTGGGCCCCTGCTCCCCACGTGGGAGCCCAGGTGGCAGCACAGGCTCCTGCCATCAGCCTGATGAGCCTGGCTGGTAGGGGCAGGTGGGGACTGAACCTGTGGTCAGCGGAGCCCTCACTGTCTCTCTGCCTTTGAAATAAAGATATATGTTTGTTTCTTTCTGAAAACTTTCTGTGAAGATTAAATTATTAAGTGATACTTTTATGTTTAATTTTTTGGTGCAAAGAAATTTTCAGTATTGTACAAAAGAAGAATCTTCAAAGAGTTCAGGGAAAATGCATATTATGCAAAAATCTGTGCATTGATTTTTACCTTTTTTCTCCCAATATTATATGTGTCTTTTAAGTGTATTTTTTTAAAAGTGTATTTTTCCACATACCTTTGGTTGTGCCCTAATACATGTTGTGTCTGGCTGTATAGGTGATTTTCTGTTTTAAAAATTCTATTTGAACACAGAATTGAATATAGAAAGATAGGGCTTGAATATGTGTGATGCCAAGTGGTGATTCTAGCTCCAGCTGCTCCGCTTCCTGTGCAGTTCCCTGCTAATGCTCCTGGAAGGCAGTGGAGGATGGCTCAAGTGCTTGGGCCCCTGCCACGCGCGTGGGAGATGAGGGTGAGTTCCTCCCTGCTGACTTTGGCCTGGCTGTTGAGGCTGTTTCGGGAGTGAAACCAGTGGGTGAAAGGGCCTTCCCTCTCTCTCTCTTTCTCTGACTTGCTTGTTTTCAGTTGATCTGCCTTTCAAATAAATTAATATTTAGAGAGAAATGGTGAAGTATATTGTATTTCAGAGAAAATAATGTTTATTATTTTTGGTGTACAAGGAATGTTTGCAAATTTATCTGCATAAAAAGTGGAAGTTGAACATTGTGGCTTTATTATTCCTAGTAGTGACAAGCAAGCATGATTTTCATTTTAAGACTTAGTTATTTGAGAGGCAGAGTTCATAGAAGGAGAGAAAGAGAGAGGTCTGAGTTGTTCCGCAAAGGGCCCTAATGAGCTGGGCTGGGCCAGGAGCTCCATTTAGGTCCCCACGTGGGTGGCCGAGGTTCAAGTCCTGGGCCTGCCATTGACTACTTTCCAGGGTGCAGGGAGCTGGTTTGGAAGTGGAACGCCTGGAATTTGAACTGGTACTCTGATACGGATTCCAGAAGCATCATAATATTGCTCCCCCCCCCACGCTCCTTGCCCTCCCACACACACATCTTAAATACATTAAAAATCATGTGTGACGTGTGAAAATACTTAAGTGAATTGTGGTTTGTAGAACATAGTGCCAACTGTTGAAAATCATGTTTACGTAACATATGTACGTGCCATTACATTAAAATGATAACCTCATACAGAAGATGCAGGGAGGTGTTTGCAGGACCATGGATGCCTGATTGATGACACATGCGGCTGGGAGTTCTTCAAGAAGCCAAGCTGTGGACTGAGCACACCAAGTCCACAGCAGAGAGCAAGTGCAGGCTGGTCCCTTTGAGGTGGCCCAGCCGTAACCTCAGCCTTGGGTGTACTCTCTCAGTTCTGCATGCCTAGCTTGAGGCTTTGCCCTTGGACTTGCATGTTGGCAGCAAGTGCTGAGTACTGCCACACCCTTACCCATAACATCACACTAAGAGAAGGACTGAACTGCTTTATCCTGGCGCTGTCTGGGTCATGCACAGCATTCCCTCTCACACCTGTGCCCCTGTGATACTGCTTAGCCAGGGGGCTTGCCCGCTTGAGTATTTAGTGTTTCTCACCCATGCAGTAGGAAAGGGTTGGTTGACGCCAAGCCAGGGTAGTAGAGCCCTCTCACTTGGCTTTCTGAGCTTGGTGTGGGGCAGTCACAGGCTGCTGGCACAGACTTCGTCCTAGGGTCCCGGGCACTTTTGCCCTGCTCAGCCTCATAGGCACACTGATGGCGCCTCCCTCTTGGTGCAGCTCTGGCTCTGTCACATCCCTCTTGTTTTTTTCTTTTCTAGAAAGAAAAGTGCAAATCAAACAACTCAGCCGCCCGAGAACCTAATGGCTTTCCCTCCGATACCTCTGCCAATTCCTCCCTCCTCCTCGAATTCCAAGGTGAGTTGCCGCCTTCCATTTTCCCTGCAGGAAACAGGTGACATAGCTGAGGGGACCCTGAGTTATGTGTTGTGTGTGTCAGCTGCATGGCTGCTTGCTAGAGTCCAGCTCCACCTGAGTTCGGAACTCGCGAAGGGTGCGTGGATGAGGCGCAAAGAGGAAAGAAAGACGGACCACTAGGATTTCATGATCATAATGGACAATGCATGAAAGCTGTCCGCTTTATTTATACAAAATCAGTCAAACTCTGGCTCAGACTTTTTACGTCATGGTCAAGTGAGTGTTTCTAAGGATAATTCTGCCATTTGTTTTACCTAAAAACAGTAGAAGTTCCTGCTACAATTCTTATCCTACAACTCAATCTTGTATCACAAAGAAAAGGGGAACCTAAAGACTGAGGAAAGAATGAAACCCTAAATAAGGGTCCTTTGATTAGTATAAGGTCAGTGGGGACAGCCAGGACAGTAGGAATAATAGAAGGCCCTTTTGCAAGACATTATTGACATTAACCTCCAAGCTCACATTGAGTAAAGGGCCAACCTCACAGTAGCAAACAATGCCTGGATGGATTAGAGTTCTTCCGCAGGATGGTCCAGTGTCCATGCAAAAGAAGGTGGAGCTGCATTCAGGTGGTTGTAGAAACACTGCCAAATATCGGGAAGTTCCTTGCGGCCCTGCCTGCAATGGAACAATACCCTTCACACCTTCGTGTCCCCCACATCCACTGCACGGACCCCAACAGCTGCTGCTATGTTGGTGTTCCGCTGGGCACTCAGGGCTGTTGGCATGGCACTCCCATGCACCTGCTGTCTGATGGGTCAGGTGCTCGGCTGAGACTCAGAAAGGAGGAGTCCGCTCCAGGGCCAGACTGCTCTGCGTGAGGTCCTGGCTTTCTGGATCCGAAGTGCTTTTCTTCAAACTGAGTATTGGGTAATGATGCCTTAGAGTAGCTGCCCAAGTCCACTGTTTACTTCCTTCTGGGGCCAGGAAGGCAGCTGGAATTGCTGCTCCACCTCCCAGACAGCGGCTGTTCCTGCAGCATGTCACCTGTGCCCTTCTGTCAGCCTGTGCTCATGCACCGGACTGTTACTGCCAGCCATGGGTGAAGACATTGCCCACGCAGCACATGCTGCTTGCTGGACATAGACTGGGTGAGCCCAGCCTGCAGGTCTACCCTCTGCACTGTCCTCCCAGACTGCCAAGGACACTGCCCTGTCAGAGGAGCGTATGAGCGAGTGAGGGCTGCCCTGTAGCCATGTGCAGGGGACAGGTAATCCAGTGATCTTAAAGCCCCAGGAGATGTGAGGCCCTGTTTCCACTGCGTGGTCACCATCCCATCCTCTTTGTTCAGTAATGAACGCAACCTGAATGCGGGTGTGTGTTGTGTGTCACACTGGGCAGTCAAGGAGCATGCCTGCACAGGGTGCGTGAGCAGATGTGTGGAATGATGGGTCAGGTGTGCATGGGGTATGGCAGGTCCGGCAGGTGCTTGGAGGGGCTGAGCCAGAATGTCTCCGGGACCACTGGAATGAGAGAAGGCCCTGCATGCTAGTACACGGATGAGGGGGCAGGTGGAGAGGCCAATGACCAGGACAGACAAGCTTTGTATGTTGTGATGGGGCCCTCGAGCCTGGCCCGAGGGGCAGTGGCATGTGAGGCTTATCGTGGGAAGGGTTTGGGGCGAAGTGGCATGGAGGCAGAGCAGAAAGGAGCCATACAGAAGGCCGACTCCTCAGTGCAGCAGCCTGAGCTAGGGCAGGAGGAGAAGGGGCCGTGAGTGTTGGAGTGTCCTAGCTGCACACTGCACCCCTGGTGGTGACAGGCTGCAGGGGGCAGCGAGGGAGGCGGGGCCTGCTGTGTGCCTAGCTTGGGTGGTGGTGTGAGACCTTCAGACAGAGCTGGCGCACTTGTGGCAGTCTGCATGGAAAAGCCTGAGCCAACTGCCCACAAATCCCACCAGCCAGCCTGCAGTACCCAGAGGAGTGTCAGGCACAGGTGTCATTTTCTGGAAGGAAGCTTGGGAGGTGCTGGCCAGAGGCGTATGCCCTTCCCCTGGGCACTGATAGACACCAAGTCCAGGCTGTAATTGCTAGGTGAGAAAGGAGGGGGTGAAGGGCATACCCCAAGCTTCCTCAAGTATGCACAGTGCAAAAATGTAAAGGTGGCAGCTGCTTCTCTGCCTAGGCAGTGCACTGTGAGATAGAGTTTGGATAAATTGGCTGGGAGCCTGCAGCCCGTCTGCAGGGGGTGGTGCCTTTCTAGGGGGTGGGTGGCAGTGCTGAGGGACCCGTGGGGGTGCAGGCTGTCACTCAAGCCGTGAGGCAGAGACGCACTGCCTTGGCTGTGCTTGGTTTCAGATGAGAACAGCAACCAGAGCTCTGTGTCGGACGTCTACCAGCTCAAGGTGGACAGCAGTACCAACTCGAGCCCCAGCCCCCAGCAGAGCGAGTCCCTGAGCCCAGCACACACCTCCGACTTCCGCACAGATGACTCCCAGCCCCCCACGCTGGGCCAGGAGATACTCGAGGGTGAGTTGTGGGGCCTCTTCACGTTTATCCTCAGAAGAAGAGATTGAGGGGTACACCCCACAGCAGCATCATTGGAGAACAGCTTGGCATAGTTATTTATTTATATATTTTTTAAATTTGAAAAGCAGAGAAGAGCCAGTGTTGTGGCACAGTGGATTAGGCCATTGCTTGTGATGCCAGCATCTCATATTACAATGCCAGTTTGAGTCCTGGCTACTCTACGTCACATCCAGCTCCCTGCTGATGCACTTGGGAAAGCAGCAGAGAACGGCCCAACTGCTTGGGTTCCTGCACCCACATGGGAGACCTGGCAGAAGCTCCTGGCTCCTGGCTTTGTTCTTGCCCAGCCCTGGCCCTTGAGCCTTTATGGGGAGTGAACGAGCAAATGGAAGATCTTTTTTTCTTTTGCCCTCCATGTGTCATTCTTCCTTTCAAATAAATAGAATAAATCCTTACATAAAACAAAGCAAAACAGGCATCTTCCATCCACTGGTTCACCTCCCAAATGCCCACAGAGTACCTGGGGCTGGGCCAGGCAGAAGGCAGGGATCAGGAACTCTGTCGAGGCCTCCCTTGGGCCTGGTGCTGGCAGAGAGCGTTTGTGTTCGCAGAGAGCAGAGCTGGGACTTGAATTCAGGCTCTGTGCCATGGTATGCAGGCACTGTCTTCACCATGGCACCAGGCACCCAGTCCCCACCTGTGGGGTGTCGAGGGAGGAGTGACTTCACCTTTTCATGAAGTAGAGAGGGACCAGGCACAGTGGGCAGAGCTTTGCATATTAGAAGCCTCAGATGATGCTGTCTGAAGCCCCTAGAGACTGTCACTGCCAGCCCCACATTACAGAGGCGGAGGCTGCCAAGGCTTAGCGGCAAGTCCAGGACTCCAACCTGGTACCCAGTGCAGCTGATGTCCCTGTCTGGGTCCCTCAGCCTCAGCAGTCAGCTGATTGCCCAGGTACATGGGCACAGGCATAGGGCATGGTCAGCTGTGGTTCGCTTCCTCCCTGCCTCACTGCATCTACTCTCGTGGCAGCCCTCTCCAAAACTGAGGGGCTCAAGTGACAGTTGTGATGCATGGCCTGGAAAGCAACAAGACAAGCAGCTGTGGCAGATCCAGAGTTTTGCTGACCTGGCTGCCCCCCACCCCAATGTGCAGAGCCTCCTGGAATCTAGCCTTCTTTTCCCCCTAGACTCTGGCCCTGCCAGGCCCACTCCCCCGACCAACCTCTCCACAGAACTTTGAGCAGGGTATCGGAGTGTGAGCCTCCTGCCCAGGCCTGAGCTTGTTGCCTTTCAGAGCCCTCTCTGCCGGCCTCGGAGGTCGCCGATGAGCCGCCCACCCTCACCAAGGAGGAGCCTGTGCCCCTGGAGATACAGGTGAGCAGCTGCCGGGGCATCATGGTTTCTCTGACAGAAAGCAGGGGCTCTGCTTCTGTGGAGCCATGGTTCAGCAACTCCCCATCCCGGTGTGTGCTGTTGGGGGTGCTGGCCGGGAGGTGGAGGGGTGCAGCTGGGGCCTGTCATCCACTGCTGTGACTGCTCCTAGGTGGCTGAGGAGGAGGAAGACGCGAGTGCCCCGCCTCTGAAGCGCTTCTGTGTGGACCAGCCTGCAGTGCCACAGACAGCGTCTGAGAGCTAGCAGCGCCTGGCGCTCTCCATCTGCATCCAGCCCCTGCCTCTATTTATTGCGTTCTGGCTCTAGCCATGCCGTGTTGCTGGGGTCGAGGGCAAGTGTGGGGGTGCAGAGCCTGCACGTAGGGAAGCGTCCAGCCTGAAAGCCAAACAAGGACTCGGGTCACTGCATCACCTTCCTGTTCCTGGCACCTGCTTGCTGGGCCACTGAGCGGAAGAGTGCTCCTGTCCACTTTCCCAGGCTTTCTGTCACCCCCTGGGGCAAGACCTCTGGACAGAGCTGTTGGTGTGTCCGAGAGAGAGAGAGAGAGAGAGAGAGAGAGAGAGAGAGAGACAGAAAGAGAGACGAGAGAGACAGAGACAGAGAGAGAGATGGGAGGGCCCCTGCAGGGGTACTTGAAAGGATAAAGTGGCCAGTGGGACTGTGCCACAGGCTGTGGGCCCTGTAGGCTGCTGTTGGGAGGGACTGCGTGGGGCTGTGGAGGATGGGGAAGATGAAAGGCCATCCCTGCTCTGCTGGGCGTCTCTGCCCCCACTGAGGTGGGTTCCCATTGCTGAGGGTGCCCTGTGCCCTGCCCCTAACAGGCACACATGCCCGCAGCTCCCTGCCCACCTGTACATGCCATTCCTGCCTCCTGCCAGACACTCTGCCTCAGCCAGAATTCAGGGTTCTGACATCAGCACCCATTCTTCCCAGTACTCCTGCTCAGACTTTCTAGAAAGTTCCCTCTTATTTGAAATCTGCATGTCCAGTTGAACTTTGCGATTTATTTTTGGTCTCAAAGAAGTTTAAGAAAATGGAAATGGACAACAGCGAGTGAAGACATATTTTAGCACTGGATAGAATATTTTTAAAATTAAACTATTTGAAATACGTCTCCTTGGTGTCTGAGTGGCTCATTGTAGAAGGCTAAGGGGGTGGGGCTGGGACTGCTGGGGCATAGCCACCCTGCCTGTGGTCTCCCACGACAGGTGCCTTGACGTTATCCTGTGCTTCAAATTCTATTTCTGTCCCTTTGCATTGAAGGCAGCCAGTGCATGTCTCCCACAAGCTGGCTCACTCCCCAAATGGGAGAAGCGGCCGGAGCAGAGCCTAGCCAAAGCCAGGAACCTCGTCTGAGTCTCCCACGTGGGTACAGGTTCCCAAGGCTTTGAGCCATCCTTGACTGCTTTTCCTGGCCATTAGCGAGGAGCAAGATGGGAAGTATAGCAGCCAGGACATGAGCCAGCACCAATATGGGATCCCTGTGCTGCAAAGTGGAGGATTAACTAATTGAACCATCACGTGGGCCCTGAGTGTTTTTTCTTAAAAAAATTGAACACCTTCTATTAAGTGACTGTCACAGATCCTACAGTTATATGTACTGTAAGAGAAATGTACTTTAAACACGGGCAAGTGTTGAAAGCATAGTAAGAGGCCATAAATGAAATTCCTGGGCAGGGGAGGGGTTTGGGGCTGTGGTTAAGTCACTCTTTGGGGCACCTGCATCAAGAATGCCTGGATCAGGTCCTGCTCCTCTGCTCGAGAAGGCCAGCTTCGTGCTGGTGCTCCCTGGAGGCAGCAGATGAAGCTCACGTGCTTGGGTTTCTGTCACCGAACGGGAGACACAGTGGTACTCCTGGCTTTGGCCTGAACCAGCCCTGGCTGTCGCAGGCATTTAAGGAGTGCGCCGACAGCTACAAGGTCTCTCCTCCTGCCGCCGCCTCTGTGTGTCATTCTGCCTTTCAACAAATAAACACAACATTAACATTTTAAGGGAACAATACCAACGAGCTCACATAACTAAATGTACCCGTGGATTGTGGTTGAGCATTCAGGGGAAAGAGCTGAAGGTTCTAGGTGGGATGCGCCTTATCCAGTTGAGCCTTATCCTAGGGCTGGAAGGGTCAGAGAGAGAAGCCAGACTCACACTGAGGAGCATGGTAGTGCAGCACAGGAGGCTGCTGCCCGCGATGCCAGCATCCTGTATGAGTATCAGAGTATTGCTACTTAAGTCCTTGGCTGCTCCGCTATTTTTTTTTTTTTTAAGATTTATTTACTTTATTAGAAAGTGAGATTTACAGAGAGGAGAGAAAGCTCTTCTGTCCACTGGTTCACTCCCCAAATGGCTGCAACGGCCAGAGCTGAGCTAGGTTGAAGCCAGAAGTCTGGAGCATCTTCTGGGTCTCTCACACGGGTGCAGGGTCCCAAGGCTTTGGACTTTCCTCGACTGCTTTCCCGGGCCACAGGCAGGGAGCTGGATGGGAAGTGGGACAGCTGGGACAAGAACTGGCACCTTTATGGGGTCCCGGCACTTACAAGACAAGGATTTAGCCATTAGGCTATTGTGCCAGACTTAGTTGTTCCACTTCGGATCCAGTTCCCTGCTAATGGGTCTGGGAAAGTAGCAGTAGATGGTGCAAGTACCTGGGCCCCTGCCACCACATGGGAGACCTGGTTCTATGGTGGCTAATTGTGTGTGTGTGTTGTGTGTGTATGTGCTGGTTCACTTCCCAAGTAGCTGCAACAGCTAGAGTTGAGCTAATCCAGACCCAGGAGCCAGGAACATCTTCTGGGTCTCTCCCACATAGGTGCAGGGTCCCAAGGTGTTGAACCATCCTGGATTGCTTTCCAGGCTACAAAGCAAGGAGCTGGAAGGGAAGTGGAATAGCTGGGATACGGACCTGTGCCTATATTGGATCGGGGGAGTGCAAGGCAAGCACTTTAGCCACTAGGCTACAGTGTTGGGTCCAGGATGCAACTTTGCATTGTTATTTATTTGAAAGGCAGAGACAGGGGCAAAGATAAAGTGACCATCTGCTTGTTCACTTCTCCAAATGCACACATAGGATGGTGGGGGCTAAACCAGGCTGAAATCAGGAGCCAGGAACTCAATCCAGGTCCCCACTGTGGGAGGGACATGGATAACAGCTGTCCCCACTGCCTTCACTCACAGGAAGTTAGAATTAAGAACTGCTTATCTTTCCTCACTGAAGTCTCCACAAAGCCCAATGCCTATCCAAGCACAAGATTTTGACATCTTGGCCCTGGCTCTCCTTCACTCTGTAAATCTGCCTTTCTAATAAATATAAATAAATCTTAAAAAAAGGGGGGGGGAGGGAGGAGGACAGCATATTTGGACTCTGTGCTTGCGTGGGAGACCTGGAAAAAGCTCCAGGCTCCTGGCTTCGGATTGGCTCAGCTCTGGCTGTCGCGGCTGCTTGGGGAGTGAACCACTGCATAGATCTTCCTCTCTGTGTCACCTACTTTTGGATATCTGCCTTTCCAATAAAAATAAATAAATCTTTTTTAGAAAAGCTACATTCTGTGTTAATTAGCCTCACTGCTAGTGGGGTGTTTTATTCATTTGAACCATGGAAGTGGAGGCCATTTGCCCAGTAAATCATATTCTAGTTTGTTTTTTTCCCCTATTGTAAGACAGAAACTTATTTTTCACAGCTTGATGGGGCTAGTGCTATGGCTTAATTGGCTAATCGTCTACCTGTAGGTGCCAGCATCTCATGCGGCCACTGGCTTGTGTCCCGGTTGCTCCACTTACCATCCAGCTCCCTGCTTGTGACCTGAGAAAGCAATGGAGGATGGTTTAAATCCTTGGGACCCTGAACCCACATGGAAGACCTGGAAGAGTCCTGGCTTTGGATCAACTCAGCTCTGGAGCCATGTAGGGAGGGAATCGGTGCATGGAATATTTCCATTTCTCTCTCTCTGCTAATCTTTCAAATAAAAATAATAGTTTGAAAAAATATGTAGTATTAAAAAACACATCGCTTCTCGGCCTTTTGGCTAAGACCAAGTGTAAAAAACACATGGATTTCATTTTTTTTGCACCGAAATAAATTTTTTAAAGATTTATTTACTTTTGTCAGAAAGTCAGATATACAGAGAGGAGAGACAGAAAAGAAGATCTTCCGTCCAATGGTTCACTCCCCAAGTGGCAGCAGTGATCAGAACTAAGCCAACCCGAAGCCAGGAGCTTCTTCCGGGTCTCCCACACAGGTGCAGGGTGCCAAGGCTTTGGGCTGTCCTCGACTGCTTTCCCAGGCCACAAGCAGGGAGCACCGGATGGGAAGCGGGGCTGCTGGGATTAGAACCAGCACCCATATGGAATCCTGGGTGTGAAACGTGAGGACTTTAGCCACTAGGCTACTGTGCTGGGCCCCCAAAATAATAATAATTGATTTAAAAAGTAATGTTCATTTACTTGAAAGGCAGAGTGCTGGCTCACTCCCCAGATGTCAACAGGCAACGCTGAGCCAGACTGAGGCCAGGAGCCAGGAACATCATGGGTCTTCCATGAGCCTTGCAGAGGCCTAAGCACTTGAGCCATCACCTGGTGCTTCCCCGCATGTGTAAGTGTGGAGCTGGATGGGAAGCAGAACAGCTGGCGCCTGAGCTGCCACTCTGCAGTGGGATGTTGGCATCTCAGGGTGTGGCATTAACACTGTGCTCCCCTTTCCTTCTCCCCCCAGGCTTATCTTTGAAAAAAAAATACAAAAGCTTGCCACTGCTAGAACTCAGCCAGGCTGAAAACTCCCTCAGGGTCTCCCATGTGAGTGGCAGGGCCCCAAGCATCTGGGCCATCTGCTGGCTGCCTTCCCTGAGCATTAGCAGGGAGCAAGATGAGAAGTGGAATAGCTGGGACTCGAACTGGTGTCATGATGGGATGGCCTGTGTCCCAAGTTCCTTATGGTGTCCTGAAGGTAACCACCTGCATCTAGAAAGTTCCTTCCTCATTTTTCCATTTGGGCAACTCTTCCACGGTGACCTCCAATGCCACTTCCCATGAGAGAAGGCTTGTTTCCATTTCTCTCGAAATACCTTCCTTCCTGCAAGGTCTTACCCAGAGGCTTCCTAGAGATGGTATCCATCTTGGAACTTATCGGCCTTTAGGGTGGGAGTGGCCTTTCCCTGAAGGGAGAGGAAGAGGAGACAGGCAGCTGCAGGCTTTATTCAGCAACACCTTACATTGTAGCCCAGGGACCTGAGAAAGGCTAAGGGCCATGGACACGTGGGGTCTCAGTTTTGCAGTGTGGTGTTTTCCGATTCACTAGAGAGAGCGCCCATCTGCTACTTCTTTCTCCTAATGCTCCTTCTTCCATCCTTCCCGCTGCCAGGGGAGTTGGGAGATAGGAACTCCACCCCAGGGCCTTTGGGTGTCGCAAACCCCAGCTTCCTCTCAGACCTGGAGGATGTCGCAGGCACCTCTCCGCACCCGTCCAGGCGCGGATGGCGCTGCTTCCCGACGGCGCACTTTGTAAAGCTCTCCTCATTAACAGCTGAGATGATGTTTAAATTTTTCTTCAGGGCACTGTGTTGTGTCTTACTTTCCCGTTACAGGTCCGTGAGCTGCACCCAGCACGCAGGAACGCCTAGAGGAGGGCGCTTAACAGGATGACCAGATTCACCCTCAATCTCATGCAACCCCCTTAACGTATTTTTCTTTTTCCTTCAAGCAGGTTTTCTGTGCCTGATGCTTTCCAGGAAGCCCTTGGAACGCGCATCCCGAGCAAGTTAACTTTTGGGAAGGGGGTGCGATGGGAAAGGTGGGGCGGGCGGGTAGGAAGCAAGGCTGAAAGGGTTCAAGTTCTCCTTCGGCAGCACGTCCTGGGGTCACTTCTCACCAGCTCCCTCCTGGAAGCCCAGCCCCACTCGCCCGCACCCTTTCATCCCCGTCCCCCCCACCCCGCACGCCGGGCGTGGCCGAGCGCAGCGCCTTTAAGAAGGGGCGGAGCGCCCAGTGGAAAGACAAAGCCCCTGGCCGCGCGCTGCCCCTCCCCCTCCCGCCCGGGCGCCCCACTCGGACAGCGGTGCCCGGATGTCGGTGTCGCCCGTTAGTGACAGATGGCGCAGTTGTGTGTGTGAGGCGCTGCCCCCGGGAGTTCTCGGCCTTTCGGTTCCCAGTCGTCGGCCCGACTTTGCGCTCGGCCCTCTCCCTCCCCGTTCCCCCCCGACGCCCGCCTGTCACCGGCGGCTTACATAACGTGACCTTTCACCTCTTCAGACTGCCCTCCAAGTGCGCCGCAACCCAACTCGACGCGGCCGAGGGGGCGGGCCCCCGGCGGAGAGCGGCAGCCGCGCCGGACCAATAGCAGGCGAGCGCCGCGCAGCTCTCCGCCTATTGGAGCATTCGGCAGCGGCGCCACAGGGGAGCAAGTTAGTGTGCGCGCCGGCTCGGCGGGAGGGGAGGAGGGGAATCTCCCGCCATTTTTCAATAATTTCCTTCCCGGTGCCGCTCAGAGGAAGGGAGTCGTGACTGCCGTCCGCCGCGGTGGTGGGGGAGGTGGAGCCGAAGGGTGCCTGGGAGACGCCGCCGCCGCCGCCGCGGTGTGCGTGAGGGGGAGTGCGGGGAGCTCGTGCGGCCCTTGGCGTGGCGCTCCATGGCTGTCGCGCGGACGCGCCGAGCCCTGAGGGAGCCTTGAGTTCGCGCCGCCCTCTCACCCCTCCCTTCCCCCCTTTCGCCGCCTCCCGGGGACCCAAGCGCTCGTTCCGGGCCGTGCTGGGCCGCTGCGGGCCGGCCGAGAGCCGCGCCATCCCCGTCGCCCGCCTTCCCCGCCGCCGCCGCCGCGATGGCGCCGCTCCTGGGCCGCAAGCCCTTTCCGCTGGTGAAGCCGCTGCCTGGAGAGGAGCCGCTCTTCACCATCCCGCATACTCAGGAGGCCTTCCGCACGCGAGAGTATCCTTCCACAGCCGCACGCCGGCCCAGATCGCTCGTGGGCTGGGGGGTCGGGCGGGGGGCCCGCGCCTGGGGAGGGTGGATGGCTTGGGGTGGGGGTGGAGGGACAGCTGTCAGCGCGTCCGGCCGCCCGCCGAAACGGGGGGCCCGCGCGCCCTCCTCCATCCTTTCCGCCACCCCCACCCCCAAAGCCGCGCACTTTATCGGCGGGGCCTTCGCGGTGGAGGAGCGTGCTTTGCCCCCCATCAGCTCCCCAAGTTGGCCCAGGTTGCCGGGGGAGGAGAGCAGGGATTCTTGGGCTTTTCTCTCTCTCGCTTTTTGATTTAAATTAAACCGGCAAGTTAAGTTTTGGAAATTGGTCTCCCCCCCCCATCCCCCGGCCTCCCGCGCGCGGCCTCGTGATCGCGCCTGCGAACCTCAAGTCCGGGTTTGGCGTTGTCTTGCGGGGCGCGCCTGGGATGGCTTTCTTGCTCCTGAGTGGACTTTAGGCCCCGGGGATGGATGAACTGACAGAGCTGGGAGACTTAGAAAGCCAGAGCTAGCCGAGAAAAGGAGGGAAGAAAAAAAAAAACCAAAAAACCGCCATGCGAGGACCGGGGGGACTTCCTTCCTGGCGCTTACACAGGTTGGAAATTTGAGGGGGGGAGATAAATATACATGTGTATATATTTTTCCAATAGTGAGACGCAGGTACAAGTTGCGGGTTCAGTTTTGGGGAACCTTGAGGCCGATGGCTTTTCTTAGGAAGCATCCTTTCCACTCGTTCTTTGAGATTTGGGGGGCAGGTGCAATCTGTTCGGTTACTTTATTTTAATGGATTGCCAGATGATATTTCATTGATTTTTTTTTTTTTTTTTTTTTTTTGGTGATGCTTGTGTGTGAACGTGCATTTCTGAATCAGGCCTACAGCAAGCCTGGAGAGCCGAGGCTGGGTGTCAGGGGCAGCACAGTGAAAGGACTTGGTTTTTCGCTGTGCTGTGGGCTTGCTGGCCTTACTGTGGCCCATGAGCGATTTGCTTTCCTCTCCTGGGTGGCCAGAATGCACTTGTAGTTGATTTCAACCTTGTGGTCTAAAAGATGGATATTTAGATGTTGCTTTTTCTTGTTGGGTCCGGGGTTTTGGAAGGTTCTAGAGAAGCCTTTAGCGTCACTAAATACAGCCTCCTTCTAAAAGAATCTTTGCTTTTTTTTAAAATCCCAGAACAGAGCAAAAACACACGCGTCCTTTTCAGGTGACGCTGATTCAGTTAGCTATTGTTTTGAGTGGCTGATGGGCCACACATCAGCATGATTAGATGTGAATATGTTTCGGGTCTGGTTGTAGTGGGTGTGAGAAGGGAGACGGGGAGAGGGGACGGGCCCCGAGTCTGGAGTAGACACTAAGCAGGCCGGGAATGGCCCTGGGTCACAGACGCGTCACTGGCATCCCAGGCTGTTCTCTGTCGTTTAATGAAAAGATCACAGTTGGCACCTGAAGCCAGAGGCATTTGAAGTAATACATGTGCAGTAAGTAGTCTTCATTTTTCTTTTCCCATGCCAGCAGTTAAAACCTGTGCAGTCAGGTCATTCTTAAACAGTGTTAGGTACTGGTTTAGAAACTCGGGGGAGATGGGGGAACGGGGCGATTGCACCCTTGGGAATGTGTAAGGGGAAGCACTGGGAGGGTGGTTTCTAAACAATTGCGCTGTCTGGTTGGCATATTTCTTTTATTAGGCTATTAGTGGTTTCATAGAGGAAAACAGGCTGGTAATAGCTGCATGTAAAGTATTACTCTCGGTTCTCATTTATATTTGTAATTATGTCTTAAACAGAATTTGATACTTGAATTTTCTCTGCATACCCACCTTTTGGTTGCACGTGTGCTCTGTGGCAAAGTTGTCTGCTATTTTATTGAATTACATCTGTGAGCTGTTAACCATTCTTGAAGGTGTACTGTACATTTTCATTAAACTTTGGTGCAGTTGGTGAATAACACATTTGATGCCGGGGTTAGAGGGATGGTGATGTGGATTATTCTGGAGCTTTGATTTGTAGCATATTACTCTTGCTAGGCTAGTACCTAGCAAGACACTGGATCTACCTTGCAAAGCATTAACTTGATTAGTCTTTTTTTTAAGCTTGAGTTCTTTATTTGAAGGGGAGAGTGACATAGAAGGGCGAGAGGAAGGGATACCAATATCGCTATCCTCCATTCGCTGCTTCGCTCCCCAAATAGCTGCGACAGCTGGGCACTCCATATGGGTCTTCCACAGAGGTGGCAGGGGCCTAGGTACTTTGGCTGTCCTCCGTTGCTTTCCCAGGCACATATACAGGGAGCTGCATCTGAAGCAGTGCCTGGGACTCGAACCGGTGCTTCCTTAGGGGCTGCTAGCATCACAGGCAGCAGCTCAGCTTGATGTGCTACAGTGCTGGCCGGAGCCTGCCACAGTGAGGTGTACTGTCTGCGTGGGTTAGAGGCGGTGGCTGAAGTTGTAGGCAGTATGTGCTGAGAGTTCCGGGTGCCTCTGCTGTGCTAGTTCCTAAGGCTTAGAAGCTGTAAGTTTTGACCTTGGTAGTGGAATTCCAGGAGGAATGATCGTTGTGGTGATGTGCTCTGTAGCTCTCCTGGCCCCGGACAGGTGTACCTGGATGTGTCCAGCCAGCCACAGATTAAGTTGTGGCTGCCAGGCAGGATTTTATTGGCTGAGATTTACTGTTGACTTGAATAATTTAGTGTCAGTTCAACACATGACACCAGGTTAGATTTACCTTTAACCTAACAACAGGTTCTGGTCCAAAGAGAGAAAATAGGGTGTAAGGCAGCTGCAGGGTTGGCTCAGTTGTCTTCTCTCTTGTCCCTTTTGTAGCTGTCCTGCTCCGGGCCACCGTACCTTTCAGGTTACCAAGGAGTGTACTTAACGTACAGATCCTGTGGGGCTGAAGAGAACCAGTCAGCAGCCTGGTAGGGTAAGAAGGTCGCTCTTGAACTCCGAAAGAAGCGGGTGCATAATGAGGTGGTCCAGGGCTTGACAATATCTTATCACGAATAGGTTACACAACCTTTAGAGAATTGATTTGACATTTTGCCTGCAATTATATGTGCAGCAGTTGCTGGAATGAGAAAACCTCCCTGGCATTTGCTCAGGGTAGTCATTGAGAATGACGGACTTATTTTGGGTAACCTTAAATCTGAAATAGGATTTAGAAGTGGCTGATTTCAATACTTTTTGGACGGGCTGTTTTCCCTCTTTGATTTTTCTCACTTTCTCATAGCATGAGCAGGATCAGCTAAGCTAAGTCAAGACATCCTATTGTGAAGGGTTATTTTAGGAGTTTGTCTTAGGCTCTTGGAATTATCTAATTTGACTAGTAAGCGTAATAATTTGAGTTAGTATTGTCAGGGAATATTCTGAAGTGTTTACACTGCTATCCAATCAAAATGTAAACCATGCAGGATTTATAATTTTCTTGGCCCAGTGCGGTAGCATAATGGTTAAAGTCCTTGCCTTGCATGCTCTGGGATTCCATATGGGTGCTGATTTAATCCCAGTGGCCCCACTTCCCATCCAGCTTCCTGCTTGTGGCCTGGGAAAGCAGTTGAGGACGGCCCATGAGACTCTACACCGTGTGGGGGACCTGGGAGAGGCTCCAGGCTCCTGGCTTGGCATTAGCGTGGTTCCGACCTTTGCAACCCCTGGAGGAGTGAATCAGTGGACAGATCTTTCTCTCTGCCTCTCCTCTCTGTATATCTGCCTTTCCAATAAAAATAAATCTTTAAAAAAATTGTTTTAAATTTTCTAACAGCTACATTGATTGAGAAAAGGCAAGTCGTAGGCACACATTTATTGAGTGGTTAAGATGCTGCTGGATGTACCCGAATGTCTTAGCAAAGTGCCTGGATCTAAGTCCTGCCTCTGCCCCGAGTCCAGCTTCCTGCTGGAGGGGGGCACTCTGGAGGCCCACGGAGGTGGCCGTCTGCAAGGAGGACCTGGGTCAGTCCTCCCGGCTTCAGCCTGTTCGGCCTGTTGCAGCCCTGACAGCTGGTAGGCACCTGAGGTGGGCATGGAAGATCCCGCTCTCATGCTTGCTCTCTCTGTGTTTTTTTCTCATAAAATGTATTAAAAAGAAATTTTAAAAATTACTAGGTGAGGAAGAAACAGTGTATTTTTTTTTTCTTTTTAAAAGATTTATTTATTTTCATTGGAAAGGCGGGTATACAGAGAGAAGGAGAGAGAGGAAGATCTTCTGTCCGATGGTTCACTCCCCAAGCGGCCGCAATGGCTGGAGCTGAGCCATTCTGTAGCCAGGAGCCAGGAGCTCTTCCAGGTCTCCCACATGGGTGCAGGGTCCCAAGGCTTTTAAAGCTTCTTCCTGGAAGCAGCAAATGTCACATTTTGACCCTTGGTCAGAGCAAGCCACAAGGCACGTAGGCAGAGGTGGGAACTCGGTGGAGGAAGCAGGTGGTTGGGAATAGACTCCTCTCCAGGGCCTGTAAGATAGGGGAGGTTGTGAGATGGAGAACAGAGGACTATATTCTCGGCCAACAAGGTGTAATGAGTGTGGCTTGGAAGGCTCAGAGTTGGCAAGAACGTCACAGAGCTGCAGCGAAGACGTGGGAATGGGGATGGCTTTGCCTGGTGGTGAGCGACACCAAGGAAGGAGCCATCAGGCAGGTCCCCATGGCTTAGGCCCACTGGGCTGGTGTGAGGGCTTTTAGCATGCAGATCTACCAGTGAAGTTCATGGCAGTAAGTGAAATGACTCAGCAGAATGGACTTCCAGAGGAGAGGGGCGACCCACCTTGGGGAGGAGGAGGGACTGTTTGAACAGTCATAATCAAGCAATACAGATCGGTACTTTTTTTTTTTTTTTTTAAAGATTTATTTTTATTATTTTTTCATTGGAAAGGCGGATATACAGAGAGGAGAGACAGAGAGGAAGATCTTCCGTCCGATGATTCACTCCCCAAGTGAGCGCAACGGGCCGATACTATGCCGATCCGAAGCCAGGAGCCTCTTCCGGGTCTCCCACGCGGGTGCAGGGTCCCAAAGCTTTGGGCCGTCCTCGACTGCTTTCCCAGGCCACAGGCAGGGAGCTGGAAGGGAAGCGGGGCTGCCGGGATTAGAACCGGCGCCCATATGGGATCCCGGGCGTGCTAGGCGAGGACTTAGCCACTTGCGCCACCGCGCCGGGCCCGATCGGTACTTTTTATAAGGCATATTTAAGATTGATTAATTTGAAAGGCAGGGTGACGGAGAGAGGGAGATGCAGCTGTTCGTTTGCTGGTGTACTCCCCAAGTGCCTGCAGTAGCTGGCCCCGGGCCAGGCTAACGTTGGGACCCTGGGTGACCAAGAGCCAAACACTTGGCTCCTCAGTCAACTGCGTCCCAGGGTGCAGTGGCAGGAGTCACCAGCGCTGCCCTCGGGGCTCCAATCGGGTGACAGTGCCTCCCCTTTAAATGTAGTTGTTGTTTAATAGTTTTTAAATTTTTTTCTTTTTAAAATAATTTTGCATGTCACAGGAAATTAAATTCAAGCAAATGTCTTGGTTGGTGACATTTTGGAAGACAGAGTTGAGAGAGAGAGAGAGAGAACTTGGTTCGCTTCCTAAATGGCTGCAACAGCTGGGACTGGCCCAGTCTGAAGCCAGGGCCAAGAACTTCATCTGGGTCTCCACGGGGTGTGGGGGTCCAAGCACTTGGACCATCTTCTGCTGCTGTCTCAGGCCGCTAGCAGGGAACTGGATGGGAAGTGGAGCAGCTGGGACACAAACTCGCTTCTATAGGGTGCTGACATCACATGCAGTTACTTAACGTTCTACTTAACTGTCACAGTTACAGAGGGAGGGAGAACTTTCATGGTTTGTTTCACTCCCCAAATACTTGCAGCAGCCCAGGACGCAGTCCATGAAGGTGATAGAAAGCCAAATAGGTGAGGCAGCAGCACTGTCCCCCAGAGGGTGCCCTGGCAGGGTACTGGAATCAAGGACGAAGCCCTCTCGAACAGAGAGAGTTAACCACTAAGCTGCCCGCCCATCCCTTCAGTGTCTTAAATATAGCTGAATGATGTTCCCCAGCATTTTGCAAATTGCAGGTCGAGCCACTTACTGATTCTTCCTCTGTTGCTGCTTTACCCTTTTCCTCCTTCTCTGGGGCAGAGGGAGAAAGCAGGTCTCTTGGAGACTGACAGTACCCCTCTGAAAGTCGCACCATACTTCCTTGTCTGAGGGTATAGGGTATGTGAGTTTCAATGACTGGGTTTACAGAACTTTCCATGGAAGTGTAGCTTGTGGATCCTACTGATGGTGATACCTGTTTAGTCACTTGCGTGTTGAGTCATCTCTGGTGAGGGGAAAACAGGGTGGAGGCACTGTGGGGTGCTTGAGCTGCGGCCTGAAGCGTTGTGATTACCATTGGGGTTGCTCCTGTTGTTGCCTTTTTACTGATCATACCTCTGAAAGAGCAATAATCTCCATATTAAAAAATGAATACTTTAAAAAGTTTGTTTCTAGGCTGAGTTACATTACATGGAGGAGACACAGAGAGTCCCAGATGACAATAATGACTGCAGCTAAGCTGTCCAAAGCCAGGAGCTTCTTCCAGATCTCCTTTGTGGGCTGCAGGAGCCCAAGGACCTGGGCCATCCTCTGCTGCTTTCTCAGGCTATATGCAGGGAGCTGGATAGGCAGTGGAGCCACTAGGGCTAGAATCGGTGCCCGTATAGGATGCTGGCACCACAGGTGAGTGTTAGCCTGATAAACCCAGAGCCAGCCCCAACTGAATAGTCGTTGGGAGATAATATTACAGAGGGAGCTGTTTGTTGATTTTTTTGTTTGTTTTTAGGGTTCGTTCATTTGAAAGAGTTTCAGAGAAGGGGAGAGATTTTCAATCCACTGGCTGAATCCCCAGATGGCACAATGACCAGGCCCAATCTTAGGAGTCAGGAGCTTCACCTGTGTCTCTGACAGAGGTCACTGGGGGGCCAAGCACTGGGGCCATTTCCCACTACTTCTCCCAGGCCACTATCAGGGAGTTGGATTGGACATGGAGCAGCTGGGACACAGATAGGTGCCCATATGGGATGCTGGCGCTGCAGGCAGCAGCTTTGCTCACTGCAGCCGCAATGGTGGCTCCAGGGCCTGTTTTAAGTGCGAGTACTTCCTCTATAAAACCTGTCCCTTGGAAAGTGGAGGGATTGGCAGCTGATTCTCTAGCTATAGTGTCAGTTTATCTTGTTGCACAGCATCTGTTGCTATATGCGCGAAAATAAATTGTCATTTGAATTTGAATGTGCCTGGCTGGTAGTGAATTCCAGTTGGGATAGAGTAGACAGTTGCCAAATAACTAGCTTACATGAAGCTCTTTCCCCATGCCTCATGAAAAATGAGCAGCTAGCAGTGATCTGTGAATGGTGATCCTTCTGGAGACAATAGCAAACTAGGCGACACAAGGGCTGGTTGGCTCTGGCTTTCCATTGTTCTCCCTGCCCGCCAAAGATGACCCGGGGAGTTGGGCCCTGTCACCAGGTGGGAAACTAGGATGGAGTTCTGGGCTTCTGACTTTGGTCTGGCTGGGGTCCTCACTGTGCGGGCATTTAGGGGCGAACCAGTAGATGGAAGATTTTCCAATATTTATTTTTATTGGAAAGGCAGAGTTACAGAGGGAAGGAGAGAGATCTTCCATCCACTGGCTCACTCTCCAGGTGACCACAGTGGCTGGAGTTGGGTTGAATCTGAAGCCAGGAGCCTTCTCAGTCTCTCAAGTGCACGTAGGGGCCCAAGTAGTAGAGCCATCCTCTGCTGCTTTTCCCAGGCCATAAGCAGGGAGCTGGATCAGAAGTGGAGCAACTCAGCTTGAACTGCTGCCCATATGGGAATGCCAGCACTGCATGTAGAGACTTAGTGTGCTGTACCACCACACTGCCCTCCCCCCCAATTTTAAACAATCAAACAAAAGCCCAACTGTAAATGCATCAAAAATATCTTTTAATCCTAAAAAGCAACATGTGTTTCCAGACAGGCTGGGAGACTGTAGGTGATCGTTGGTATATGTGTAACGTCATTCAGACTGTCCGTGGGCCTGTGGACATTCATCTCACTGTGTCCTGTGATGATTCAGTTGACCAACTATTTGGGTTGTGTGGCAGTTCCACTGACCTGAAATTTTTATTTCTTATGACTTGTGCTTTGTTTTGCCTTTATTTTTTCCCTACAATGTTTTTGTTCTTTTGTGAAGCAAAACTTTGTGGCGAACTGAGGAAATCACATTTGTACTAAAATAGATACTAGTGTTTTAGCTGTAAAATGTGACAGAATTCTTTTTATTGTTCTTTAATTGGCTTACTTTGCTCTTGCTGTTTGAAAGTCAACTCCATTTTTCTTTTCCTCCTTCATGTTACGAAAGGGCACTGGGCGTTTTTCCCTGATGCTTCGGTTTTTTATGGCTCTGGGTTGGTTGTCGCAGTTGAACGTTGTTTTCCTAAGCCACTGCCCACAGAGAATATGAAGCCCGCCTGGAAAGGTACAGTGAGCGCATCTGGACGTGCAAGAGCACCGGCAGCAGCCAGCTGACGCACAAGGAGGCCTGGGAGGAGGAGCAGGAAGTGGCCGAGCTGTAAGGAACGGCTGCCCATGGGGTTTTACGGGATGCACAGTGCTTTCAGGGTGCTTTGGCCTACAGCAAAGTGTTTGTACTGAGTGTTTAGTTGTGTGTGTGCTTTTTTTTTTTTTTTTTGTTTAGATTTACTTATTTATTTGAAAGGCAGAGTTAGAGAGGGAGAGAGAGACAGGTTGATTTTCCATCCCTTCACTCCCCAAATGGCTGCACCTGTCAGGGCTGAGCCCTACTGAGCCCAAAAGCCTAGAGTTGATTCTCGAATGCAGGTGCAGGGATCCAGGACTTGGGCCATCCTTTGCTGCTTTCCCAGGCCACAAGCAGAGAGCTGGATTGGAGGTGGAGCAGTGAGAAATTTCTCATTTGTTGGTTTACTCCCCATTTGGCTGCAACCACTGGAGCTGAGCCTGTCCGAAGTCAAGAGTTTCTTCCAGGTCTCTCATGTGGGTGCAGAGACCCAAGGACATGAACCTTCCTCTGCTGCTTTCCCAGGCACATTAGCAGGGAGCTGGTTGGAAAGTGGAGCAATCGTAGGATTTGCTTGCTATACCACCATGCCAGCCCTGACTATATAGCTTTTAATCTTTTTTATTTCGTCATTTGTTGCCCTGTAGACATTTGCTAAGGAAAGATTTCTGTTTTGATAGCAGTAGTTCTCTAGAAAGGGAGGTCTGAGAGAGCACCTTTGACCTAGTGATGAAGAGGTTGCTGGGACACCTGCCTCTGCAGAGGACCTGGGGTCAAGTGTGGGCTCTACTGATGGGCCTGCTGCAAGGGCACGCACGAAGGAGACTTGGATTGAGTTCCTGGTTCCCAGCTTCTGCCCAGTCCCACCCCTCTTCTTGTAGGCATTTGGGGAGTGAATTTATTCTCTGCCTCACAAATAAAATAAATTTTTTTTTTTTTTAAAGGTATGTTTGTGCTGACATGAATTAGATCTCTGAATAGCTTTTGCTGTGTTTCCTTGGTAACTGATGATGTGTGTGTTTAGTTTGAAGGAGGAATTCCCTACCTGGTATGAGAAGCTTGTCCTGGAAATGGTTCACCATAACACAGCCTCTTTAGAGAAGCTAGTGGACTCTGCTTGGCTGGAGATCATGACCAAATACGCCGTGGGAGAGGAGTGTGACTTTGAGGTAAGTGCCGGAGGACAGAATGTATCTTTATGTGTGGAAAAGGCTGTTATGTTTGGAGTGTGCTTAAATATTCTAAAACGTACATTTTAGAGCTTCTAATTAATGCGAATGCTAAGTGCCATGAAAACTGCTATACTAGGTACTAGTGGATCCGTACTTTCTCTGAGGTTTTGATAGTTTTATTATCTTGAAAATTTTAAAATTTCCAAATATGTTCAGTCTGTGTCTTCACTCTGTTTGTGAGAGATTTGACAATTTGCTTTTTCTACTTAATTAAAAAAATGTTTTTCCAACCCAAATAGTTAAAAGGCTAGCTATTATAAAAGGGGTCCTCTTGGGGCTGACATTATGGTGTCGCAGGTAAAGCTGCTCCTGTGGGCGCCCGTTCACATCCCTGCTGCTCCATTGCCGATCCAGGGCCCTGCCAACAGCGTGGGGAAAGCAGCGCTTGGGCCTCTGCAGCTCTGTGGGAGACTGGGTGAAGCTCTCCTAGCTGGTGAGGCCATGTATGGAGTGAACCAGCACTCTTAAGTCTGATTTTCAGATAAATGAATGAATGAATACCTACCTAAATATATCTATTTAAGTGATACTTGTATGTTTTGAAACCTGAAAGTCAGATTTAGGCAGCAGGGCTCTGTGTTAGATGTCTCTGGGCTGGCTCCTGGACTTGGTGCAGCATCTGCACAGAAACCTCAGGGGTGGCCGACAGGAGCCAGCCTCTCGCAGCTTGCTGAGGCTCAGCAGCTTGCTGAGGCTCACGTGTATCTGTCAGGTGCTGTTGGCTGTGTGTAGTGGTAGACTGCATAGTGGCCAGCTCTGGTCTGATGTATTTAATGGGAATAAAGTTACTGAGAGAGCTTCTGAAAGCACATCCTTGGGTCATGCCCTGGGAATCCGGGAGCTGTGGGACAGGGCCTGAAACGGCGGCGTTCTAAGAAGTTGCCACTGGTGAGAGTGCCCTTGTGTTGGGGGCTGCACTTGGAGTAGCACTGGCTTAAATAATGTGGTCATTTAGTTCTCTGACGTAATGCATCTTGGAAGTGGGCAGCTCTGTGTTGGAATAGAGCCGAGTGAACAGTCAGGGACCTAGGCTGTCCTGTCCCTCTGGTCCTTTCAGTGTACTGTGTGTCAGGCCTTAGCTTCTCTGCTTCTTGATGGAGGACAGCATCAGACATAAAGCCCACCTTTGGCTTTATGCGTGGCTGGTCAGGCTGTGGCTTACATAGCAACACTGAGCTGCAGAGGTACTGAGAAAGTCAGTGTATTTGCCTTTTCTTCTGAAGAGGCTGGCAGGAGAGATGAGGAAGGGAGGGCAGGCATGACTCAGATAGACTGCTCACCTGTGTGACCTACAGCAGCTGGGAGGTGATGAGACCAGAATCAAGCTTTCAACTCCATGTCTGTCCGGCTCTACTCTTCATTCTTTTTGTTGTTTCACTAATTGACTCTGACTGCCTATTGAGGTAATGTCTGGCATCACCAGTGAGTTTTAACTGTAAACTTCATGCCATTCAGTGTCCTGGCACACTTTTGTGGTATCATTGACTTGAGTGCTGGAAAGGGACTGTTGACAGCAGCCTGATCAGGGTCAAGGAAGACCTTGCAAGGCAGTGTTAGGTGCCTCCTAGCCATCAGTGTTTGGGAGGCTTGGCTGTCCTGAACCTCAAAGCAGCAAGGGGAGGCAGTGAAGAGTGGGCACAGCTGTGGGGCAGTGCTGGGCAAGACCCAACCTGTAAGGGAGGCATTCTGGGAAGTAAGCTGTCCAGATCAGTTCTATGTATGAAGGGTGGAGAGTGGGGATGGAAGGGCTGCAAGGTGGAGGAAGGAATGTTCGAACAAAAGGAAGCAGCCTTTGGGAGGTGGATATCCTTGTAAACAAGAAAAGCTGTCTAAACTCGTGTGCAATCTAGGAAATTGAATGAAAACCATAGTGAAGCAGTCTTGTACCAGTCAGATTAACACATAAGAAAGTGCCACATTTCGATAAAAATGTAGAATTGCTGGTTCAGTGCAATAAATAGCACAATAAACTGCCGAATAGAATGCACGTATCATTTGGCTTAGAATTTTATTTCTGAGAATTTGCCTCTTAAATTTTGCCTCAGGGGAATTGTGTGAGAATATTTGCAGCAATATTGTTCATAGTGATCTAAAAGGAGCATAAGTCAAGTATCCATTGGCAGTTGAGGTTGGATAAAAAATACTTGAGGCATGGGGTACTCTACAACAGGAAAAATAAATTTAGAATAGTAAATTGCAGAACATGGCATAATACTGTTTATAGAAGGATCCTAACAGCAAAACTAAGTAACTGAGAATAGTAGTTTGCCTGGGGGAGAGAGGCTTGCAGGGAAGCCCGTGGAGGTTCCTGGTAGTCAGTATTTTAACTGCATGGTGTGTAGGCAAACCAGGCGAGCACACCAGAGCCAAGTGTGAGGACCTCCATGGTGAGGCTTCTTAGGGGGTTCCCCAGCTAGACCTCTGGGCTCGATCTCTGACCTCAGGATCCGACCCCAAAGCACATGTTTCAGAACTGGACCGCCTTGGTTGCTGACTCCATGCCCGAGTGGAGCGCATACCCAGGAGAACACGAAAGTCAAACAGCCAGCTCATCTAAGCCGGCAGAGGACTTCGAGTACCTCTTCAAATGATGAAAGAAAGGAGGGTTGAATAACACTCCAAACCAGGCTTTCCAGCAAGCACCTGGGCCTGTGAACACTGAGACATGAGCTGCCAGCACGCCTTAGAATTTCTCACCTCTGGTGCGAAAAAGCTAGCAACTTCTCAGAACAATCAAGCTCGTTGGGGTGTTTAAGGTGACAGTTTCCGTCCCAGGCACTAAGTGGTGCATTTTTTTTTTTAATTTTATTTTTTTAATTTTAAGTGGTGCATTCTTCTCCCGTCCTGATCCTCCATCCTAATTGGAGGCCCACATAGGTTTGCAGCCTTTTCACCTTGTAGCACATATTATAATAAGATTAAAAAATTTTAAAAGACTTCAAAAAATTTTGGGGGTAGCACATGCTACCACCTACAAGAGAGCCATTGGCATACTTACTATGCCCCCACAGGACTCTGGGAACTGCTTTGCCTAAGGCTGGTGGAAGGGACAGGAGGAGCTGCACTCTTGCGCTAGTAGTACACACTCAAGAGAAGGAGGCGGGATGGATCTGAAGCAGGGGTCTACAGAGGGCTGATCTAAGTATAGAATGAAGCTGGGGCTTTTACGGGCTAGGCCAACGCACCTCTGGCACATGGAAGTGCCAGAACAGGAGGTTGGTAAGGGTTCTGAGGGGCCCCAGACCGTGGGCAGTGAGTGTAACAAGTGCTGGGACTGGGGCAGCTCTCGTGGGGGCCGCTGTGGGTTTTCTCTACTACGCCACAGCACCCATTGGTACATATAAGAGCCAGGGCAGGGGATGGTCCCAGTAGTGGTTCTTAGGGTTAGGGTTAGGGTTAGGCCACAACACCTGCATTAGAGCTGGGGTTGGGGGGAGATCTGCTAGGGATTGTTAGGGATCTCCCAGCATGCACAAGCCCTCACCAGCATGCATGAAAGCCAGGTCTAGAGGTAGGTTAGGCTGGGCCAGGTTGCAGTACCTGTGGAGGCATATGAGAGCTGGGTTTGGGGGAGGGCCATGTCAAGCTGCAGCACCTGCAGTAGTTGAGAGCTAGGATGGAGGGGAGGACAGGCTTGGTAGAAGCTCCAAGGGGGCTCTAACTAGGCAGCAGCATTTGCTAGTACATGAGACAACTGGGTTTGGGGACAAGGCTGGTGTGGATTCTTAGAGGGGTCTTCCAGATTAGGCTACAGCAGCTGCCCGGCCTGGAGCAGGTCATGCCATTGTACCTGGTAGCGTGCACAAGAGCCAGCTCTGTGGATTGGGCTGGTAGAGGTACTGCATCTGCTGAGACTCACAGGAATTGGGGTTGGGAGCATGCTGCGCCTGCACTTGCTGAAACAGGACTGGGCATTAGTGGGGTCGGGTGCACAAGGCCAAGCTACTACTCACACAGGTACTCATGAAAGCCGTATACGAGGGGGTCTTCCACACTGGGACCAACCCCCAACCTCAGGGAATGTCATGTAGACCAACTTGCTTAGTCCTACGCAAAGGTAAACAACATACTCAAATACCCATTAGAGACAGGGTGGCCAGCTCCTCCAGTCCAGCAGAATGACTAAAAGAGGACAAGGGGTCGGATTAAACACACTGTAGATCAGGTTCTCCAGCAAGTATCTAAGCCAGTAGATGTACTGAGATAGACATGGACAGCCAACAGGTGTTAGAAGTAATTTCTTATCTCTTCAGTGTGAAGCCAAGAACATCTCAGAGCAGTAGAAACCACTCAGTTAACACCCTCAGGACATTCTCCACACATCCTTGGGACAACATCAGGCGCTGTGTTTGTCACCTGGAGCTGATGTAATCTGGCACTTTCCTTCCCGCCCAAAACGCAGCCACAGGAGGGAAAGTGGAGACTTTTCTCTCAGAGACTGCAAGCGTCTCTGATTCCCTCACCTTTGTAAGAAACATGAAAAACGACAATCATAGCAAATACATGCTTTTATAATTAAAAACCAGGGTTTTTTTTTTTTTCTTTTGAATCTTTAAAGTTTTTTATATAGGCTGGATATGTGTTCTTCATCAGATACATGCTTCTGCAGACCAGTCTCTCAGTCTATGACCTGTGTTTCTGAGAGTGATTTCTAAAGAGCAATTTTTAGGTTTTTTGTTTTTAATTTTTGATGCTATTTACATAGTTGACAAAGGATGCAGGCACATGAGGACCACTGATTAGGGTGGGGGTTGAGGCATGGGGGAAGGTGGGTGGGACAAATATTTCCAGTTTTCCTTGTGTCCTATTTGGGGGTCAGTGAGAGAGACAGAAGGGTCTGCTTCCAGCTGCCAGACTATGTCAGTATTTGAGGATGGGGCATGTCTAATTGATGTCATCTTAGAAACCTAAGTGTGGAGAAGAATGTTCTGAGAGTGTTGCCTGAATGGTTTCAATAGTTCCAAGACGCTGTTGTTTTCATTGCTCCAAGGTTGACAAAATCCTGACAGTCTACCCCAGTGCATCCACTCACCGAGACACTGCTGCCAAAGCTCAGCCAGCAGTGTTGTCCAACCTGTTTTTCTCTCCATCGTCTGACATGCCACTCGGCGTCCTCTGCAGACGAATTGGCCATCTTGTCCCCCGAATGTGCCTGGGCATGCCATCCACTGCACAGGTTCAAATTACATGAAACCCAACCCAAAAGAGGACACAGATGACCTCCTCTTCTCAGTAACAAAGAAAAAGTAGCTAGTGAGAATATAGAAAACATGGGCCCAACACAGTTGTCTAGTGGCTAAAGTCCTCACCTTGCGTGCGCGCTGGGATCCCATATGGGCGTTGGTTTGTGCCCTGTGGCCCTGCTTCCAATCCAGCTCCTTGCTTGTGACCCGGGAAAGCAGTGCAGGACAGCCCAAAGTCTTGGGACCCTGCACCCGCTTGTGGGAGACCCAGAAGAGGCTCCTGGCTCCAGATTGACAGCTTTGGCTGTTACAGCCATTTACGGAGTGAATCAAGCAGATGGAAAATCTTCCTCTTTCCCTGTCCTCTTCTTTGTATATCTGACTTTGCAATAAAAATAAATAAATCTTTAAAAAAGGAGTATAGAAAATATGATCTCAGTGCAGTAGTCTAGTTGCCAAAGTCCTTGCCTTGCGTACACTGGGATCCCATATTGGCCCCACTTTGTGTCCTGGCAGCTCCATTTCCCATCCAGTTCCCTGCTGTGGCCTGGGAAAGCAGTGGAGGACAGCCCAAACCTTGGGACTGTTGTGGGGTAGGCAGCCAGTTCAGGTTCATGAGGTTGGAAGCCACACCCCTACTACCACTTAGGTGTTCCCTCACGCTCCCCTATCCTCACCCAGGACCTGAGAGGGGACGATATGGCATTGCTTTGTAACCATTCCCCTTGCAAGCCCCCATAAAGACTCATGATAGGGAGGGGCTCGCTCTCGATCCTGTGCTTCCATTGCTCTGGCACGCTGGCTCTCGGCCACCCCCCCAACCCCCAGTACCTAGTTGCTCTCTGGCTGTCTGCAGACTCCGAGGACAGTATCCCTTGAGCATGGCATCTGTGTGTCTGTATTGCTCACCCTCTGTTCACTGTTTGGGCGGACAGTAAATATAGCAATGCTAAGATGCTTTGTATTTCTAATTTATGTACTTTAAAGAGTTCCAGGGGAGGTGAGGCCTGAATAATGGAATGTGGGCAGAGAAGCCAGGAAAAGGTGACATGTTTGCAGCTTTGTAAGTGTGCTCAGGCTGTCTGCTGTATGTCTGTTAAGATGACTTATGTTGTTGGGGAAGCTGGGACACAGGTCTTCAGCTTAATAGATGGACGACAGGGTAATGACGTTTTGTTCATCTTGGGGTTTTGATTGACTGGATTGCTACATGGACTTGTAATTTGCTGTTTCAAGTGGGCCCTATTATCACAAAGCTTGGTTAATAAAGACAGAGGAGGCTCCTGGCTTCAGATCATCCCTGTTCCAGCCATTACGGCCACTTGAGGAGTGAACCAGCAGATGGAGGACCTTTCTCTCTCTATCTCTTCTATCTGCATACCTGACTTTGCAATATAAACAAATAACTCCAAGGAAAAAAAAAGATGCCCATTGTTTTTTTGGTTTTTTTTCATGGACTCTTAATTGCTTTTCTATTTCAAGGACAGTAGAAATACAGCATAGTCAGATTGATTGATCATAGGAATTTGAGATCAGTTACTTTTCTGAGTCAGTGTTGGTGACTTTATTTTTTTATTATCTCTGATTTTCTCTCACATCCTTTGTAGGTGGGGAAGGAGAAAATGCTCAAGGTGAAGATTGTGAAGATTCATCCTTTGGAGAAAGTGGATGACGAGGCTGCAGAGAAGAAATCTGATGGGGCTTGTGATTCTCCATCAAGTGACAAAGAAAATTCCAGTCAGATTGCTCAGGACCACCCGAAGAAGGAGGCAGTAGTGAAAGAGGATGAAGGAAGGAGAGAGAGTATTAGTATGTATAGCGTTGGCTTTCCTTAGTGAGTCATGGGCTCCTAGTGCGTCGTGCATGGATCTCTTAGCGCTCTGGCAGCTAAATGTGTAATAGACTTGGTTTTTTTCCATTTATGATTCAGAAAAGAACCAAAATATTGACAAAGTGAATCAAGGCTTCAGTTTCCTAAACAATGAAGAACATAGTAAGTTGCTTTATCTAGTTGCTTGGAAATCTGTTCATTCCTACCTACTTGAGATGGCACAGCTTGCTTTCCCTTCACTCTTTCTGTTGATAACACACATGTATGTGGAGGGACGTGGTGAACATCAGGTAGCGAATTTCTGTGACCTCTGCTGCTGGCCTGGCAGCACTTCGGTCCTGTCTTTCCTGACTATAAACCAAGTGTCAAGGTGGGCGCCCCTGGAGATTCTGTCATGATTGCCAGTTGAAGAATTGGGGATATACTCAGTCTCTGAAGCCTTCAAGGTTTTTTTGTTTTGTTTTGTTTTGTTTTTGTTGTTTGTTTTTTTTAATGATTGATTTGGGGCGGGCTGGGATAGAGAGATTCTACAGAGATGAGAAGGGGATGTGGGTCTTCCATGTGTTGGCCCACTTCCTAAATGGCCACTACGGCCTATGCTGAGCCCATCAGGAGCTGAAGCCTTTGATTCTAACAGTTGTGTAATTGAGTGTGGACTGGATTCCTTTGTGGCTATATGAATTGTGTGGTACCTACTGATCACTCTTCCGATCAGTGTTGCAGGGAATCAACTGATTTTACCTTGTTACTGAACTGTTGACAGAATTTGGATATGGATGTTGTATCGTCTTCCTGCCTGCATCCTCTGTTTTGTATCTCTGTAGACACTTTGGGCATGTGCAGGTGGCTTTTGAGTGACTCCGCCTTAGGAGGACATCTCTGGATGGTCATTGTAGCTGACCCCTTGTTGCTAAATTTGAGTTTGTTTTATGGTCTGATTTATGAATCCTGACATCTATATTTTCGCTCTTGTTTTTGTTATTTAGGCTTTATGGGTCTTACTAGTTAATTCTTTGTGGTTGATGAAAGGTTTTTTTTTTTTTTTAAGATTTATTTATTTTTATTGGAAAGTGAGATATACAGAGAGGAGAGTCAGAGAGGAAGAGCTTCCATCCAATGATTCACTCCGCAAGTGGCAGCAGTGGCTAGAGCTGAGCCATTCCGGAGCCAGGAGCCAGGAACTTCTTTCTGGATCTCCCACATGGGTGCAGGGTCCCAAGGCCTTGGGCCATCCTTCACTGCTTTCCCAGGCCACAAACAGGGAGCTGGATGGGACGTGGGGCTGTCAGGGTTAGAACTGGCGCTCATATGGGATCCTGGCACATTCAAGGCAAGACTTCAGCTGCTAGGCCATCACTCTGGGCCCTCCGTGACATATTCTTAATGTTTCCTGGAGAAGAATAAACTGAACCAAGTCTCATTTTCTAAAAAAAAAAAAATAATGTAGAGAGTCCTGCATTGTTTCTCATTCATTCAAATCAAGATTCTTGGGAATACTAATATTTCTCATTGACCATTGTTTTATTGCTTATACTATTGTGGTCTTACTTCAGCATCTTCACTCTGAAATAGTTCCTAATGTAGTTACAGATGATCTCTACATCTTTTTTTTCCTTTTTGTATGCATTTATTTGAAAGAGTAGCAAAGGCCTGGCGCAGTGGCCTAGCGATTCAAATCCTTGTTTTGCACACACTGTGGTTCCATATGGGTGCTAGATTTAATCCTGGCAACCCTGCTTCCCATCCAGCTCCCTGCTTGTGGCCTGAGAAAGCAGTTGAGGACGGCCCAAAGCCTTGGGACCCTGCACCCATGTGGGAGACCTGGATGAGGCCCCTGGCTCCTGGCTTCGGGTTGGCTCAGCTCTGGCTGTTGCGGCCACTTGGGGAGTGAATTACCAGATGGAAGAGCTTTCTGTCTCTCCTCTCTGTATATCTGACTTTGCAAAATAAAATAGTAAATCTTAAAAAAAAAAAGTAGTTTAAACACGAGCCATAAATAAATAAACTAATTAATTTAAAAAAATACTAAAGAAACAAGAGCCCTGCTGTTGCTGACACTTTTTCTGACCAGGTTTCATGTCACTACAGTGGTCACACTTCGTCTCTCAGACTGTAGCTGGAGTTCTGTCACATGTCCACATCTGGCTGGCACCAAGTCCATTTCATAAGCAGTATGCCCCTTGATTCACTGGCATCTCACTTAACCTGTATTGGGAAGTTTGGCCTTGAGTCTTCTGATTTATCTTCAGTCCTCCATGCCATTTTTATTGACCTTCTATTTTCACCTTCCTATTTTATCTTTCAGCTGCTGAGATTGATATTTCTCTTACTACGTTTTTGAAGCTGCACTTTAGTTAGGTCAGCAGTTTTTCTGAGTCCTGGTGTTGGCCAGGCAGTGGGCGGGCTCTTGGAGTGGTAGGAGAGCTCCATGTGTCTGGACCTCAGTGCTCCCTGTCTCTGAGCACGTGGTGCTCTTTCTAGCTCTTTCCTTTCTGCCTCCCAGATGAGCCAGGTGTTCCCTTCCTGTCACGTGTTCTTTGCTCGGTGCTTACTCCCTTGTTTGGGAATTATGGACTTGTTGCTCGCCAGTAGGCTTTACTGCCTTGCGTTAACAGCATTATGGTTCATGTTTATGCCATCTCATCTATTGCCTGGTGTTCAGTCAAATTCTTGTGGATGAATGAAGATAATTTAAAGACCCTTTTTTTTTTCCCCACTAATTTTGACTAGATGATAGAGCTCGGAGATCTCCACGTAAACTTCCTACGTCGTTAAAGAAAGGAGAAAGGAAATGGGCTCCTCCAAAGTTTCTGCCTCATAAATACGACGTGAAACTACAAAATGAAGATAAGGTGTGTTAGCACTATGTGTGAAGCCTCTTATATCTGGTGGATTTATAAAAAAAAAATATCATGGGGTTGGTTTTGTTTTTTTTTCTCTGTTACAAGTTTATTTATTTGAATGACAGAGTCAGAGAGAAAGATTTTTTATTTGCTGGTTCATTCCCCAAATGACCACAGTAGCCAGAGCTGGACCAGTCTGAAGCCAGGAACTTCGTCTGGGTCTGCCACATGGGCACAGGGGCCTGAGCACTTGGGTCATCTTCTGCCGCTTTTCCAGACACATTAACAGGGAGATGAATCACAGTTGGAGCCACTGGAGCTGGCACCCATTAAGGGATGCCAGTGCTGTAGGCGGTCACCAGGCCACAGTGGTTGAGCCCCTCGGGGTTGTTTTTCTTACAGAGAAATGTCAGTATCTTTGGACAGATTGTTTTTCTAGTCTCTGGTTTTGGTAGTTAGGTCTTACGGTTGTATTTTTTCTTTACTAAGTGGTAACATTATGGAGAACTTGAGCTTGCCCAAGTGCCTGCAGTAGCCCGGCGCTCCGTCTGGCAGTAGCCTGGGACTGGACACTTTCCCACCGTGTTTGGAGGGCTGGCGCTCCGGTATGGGATGTCAGTTCCCCAGGTGGTGTCAACTGCTGCTTAAAGTGTCTAACAAGGGTAATCACTGATTCAGGGATATCTGCTCTTCCTTCCTTCTTCCTGTACTCCCCATTCTTACCTTTCTCTCCCTTCCTTCCTCTCTCTCTTTTTTTTTTAATATTTATTTTTATGGGAAAGGCAGATTTACAGAGCGGAGATACAGAGAGAAAGGTGTTCCATCTACTGAGTCGTTCCCCAAATGCCTGTAATGGCTTGAGCTGAGCTGATAACTCTTGGACCTTCGTCCAGGTCTCCCATGCAGGTGCAGGGTCCCAAAGCTTTGGGCCATCCACTACTGCTTTCCCAAGCTCCAAGCAGGGAGCTGGATGGGAAGTGAAGCGACTGGGACATGAACCGCGGTCTGTATGTGATCCTGGCGCTTGGAGTTGGAGGATTAGCAAGTTGAGTTATCACATCAGGCCCGGGGATATATTTATTTTTCGGGCATATTGCTTAGGAATAGATCTGTTCTTAAAATATATATATATTTTTTGGTTTGCTTTGAAGGCAGAATGATAGAGGAAAAGAAGGAAAGATGGCATCTGTCCCCTGGATCACTCCCCAAACACCTGTTCTGGTGAAGGCTGGCCCAGGGTGCATCCAACAGCTTAGAGCTCCATCCGGGGGACGGGAGCTCATGCACTTGGCCGTCATCTACTGCCTCCCAGGATGCATTAGCAGGACGCAGCAGCTTAACCCCTTGTGTGACAGGGATAGCTTTCTTTCTAATTTGCCGCCTTTATTTTTAGAATCGTGATTTTTTTTTTTTCTGGAGGAATGTAAATTTTTTCTATTTGCAATGTTTCCTTCTTTTTCTTCCGGTGGTGAATTATTTATGTGTATGTTCACTTAGATCATCAGCAATGTGCCAGCTGAAAGCTTGATTCGTACAGAGCGCCCACCAAATAAGGAGATACTCCGATACTTCATACGGCATAATGCGTTACGGGCTGGTACTGGTGAAAATGCACCTTGGGTTGTAGAAGACGAATTGGTGAAGAAATATTCTCTGCCTAGCAAATTCAGTGACTTTTTACTTGATCCATATAAGGTAAGAATACAATTAAGTTTTTAATAGTATGAAAAAGCACTGTGAAATGAATGTTTTCTTTAGCAGTTCTGTAAGCATTAATAGCAGATTTTGAGCTCTTTTTCATCTTAGTTGAAAGAGAGACAGAGATACCGGTTTTTCTAGCTGCTGGCTCACTCTGCCGATGCCTGCAGTGTTTGGAACTGACCAGGTTGAAACCCACAGTCTGAAACTCAGTACAGCTCTGTCCTGAGAGCAGCAGGTGCCCTAAGTCCTGAGCCATTACTGCTGCCTCCCCGGTGTGTGTCTGTTACCAGGAAACTGGAGCAGAATTGGTGTTGGGACTTGAACTTAGACATTCCAGTGGAGAATATCAGCATCCCAAGTAGCATTTTAACCATTGTGTCAAAAGAGGAATGTCAAAATTTGCAGATCTAACTAATTAATACAGATTGTGCTGGGCAGGCTTGTGGGTTTGGCAGGAGAGGCCACATTGAATACTTTACCTAATATTTTACTTTGCACTATTAAGTCAAAGTGCACTCTCACACTTGTTAGGCTTCAAACGTTTTTGGAAAGAGGGATAGTACACATACAAGGTGCACTTTGCGGGCCAGTTTGCAAAGATGAAAGCTGTGTTAGGCAGGATAATCAGATCCATGGCAACCTTAAACCTGGAATATGTATTTGTGTGACAGTATAGTAGAAAGCTGGCATTTCTCTCTTGCATGCTTTTCCCCTGTAATTATCACATTTGTTTTTCAGAACATATTCATGATGTTGTAGTATCAGTCATACTTTACAGAAGGGGAATCTGAAGTCTAGTCTAATGGGAATCAACAGAAAGTGATGACAAAAGCCAAGGCATTGGCTTAGCGTTGCTCTGTTTCTAATTTCCTTTTTTCCTATTTCCTTCGAATGTTTGGGTTTTAATTTGTTCATCTGAAAGGTAGACCGACAAGATGTGGGTGGAGGAAGATCTTCCATCGTCAGGTTTACTCCTGGAATTCCCGAAACGGCCATAGCTAGGTCAGGTCGAAGCTGGGAACTCTTATCTGGTCTGCCATGTGGGTGGCAGGGACCCAAATCCTTGAGCTGTCACCTGCTGCCTCTTAGGATGCTGCATTAGCAGGAAGCTAGGCTGGAAACAGAGTGGCTGGGCTGCAGCCAGGCATGTCACAGGGCACATGAGCATCTCATGCAGAGGTGTGACCACTTGGTCACATGCCCATTGTGGATAAGTGATTTTTCTCTTTTTAACTGTGAGCTATCTCCTGCCTTTTAGTAATTCAAAGTGTTATGAGTGAAATATTTTTCAGGTTTATTAAGACAGCTGAGAAACACTTTGTAGGAGGCAGAGGTTAGAATTCTAGTAACTTAATTTTGGAAAGTCAATTTCTAAAGACATCACCTACTCAAAATTCCTAGTAAGGCTTTAAGTTATTACATGTAGTTTGGCTGTACTTCAGCTTGGGCAGTGCGAGCTTGCTTAGACAAAACTGTGATAAGCAGGCGAAGCTTCTCAGATTAGTTGACTCATGGAAAATAGCAGTTCACAGGTGCAAAGTTTGAACAGTGATTTCTGTAAGTTAACAGTAAATACTGTTAGTTCACTGATGATCTCCTGTGCTTTGCATCCAAGTTTGTGTTCCCTTTTTATAAAATGAATTATCTTGAGGATTTTTGACACCTCAGCTTGAGAAGGACATAACCCAGAAGAATCAGATGGTCACGAGACAGTCCTTTGGGTCCTTCCCGTGTTTAAAGGAAGCTTAATGTAATGTGTTAAGGATTCAGGTTAGTCATGTCATCTGCCCATCCATCCCAAAGGCGTGGGTGTTGTCTCTTCAGAGTCTTCTCTGATGTATATTAGGCTGTAGTGTTCTATATGTTAAATATGTGGACTGTGGAGAGAGGTGAGGCTCGGTGGCTGGAACCAGGTTGTGAGTGATAGTTTTAGGAAGGGAGTCAGTTGAGGGAGGCTGGAGAAGCAGGTGGTATGGGAGAGGGAAGATTGCTTAGAGGAATGTTGGAGTTTTGCCTGAGTAGGGCCTGGTATGATGTGTGGTGGGTCCATTTGTATTCTTTAGGCTTATCTGTGGTGGAGGTATATTCAGGTGGCAGGGCCAGGTAACAACTCTTGCTCTGCTCCCCTTCCGTGTGCTTGGACAGTCACGGGCATTTTTCCTTTGTGACAGTCAGAAAGGGCCTTAGCTAGTGCCCATGTCTCCCTCCTCCCCCATGGGGTCTTGTTGATAGCTTGTGCTGAGAAGGGTGTGGGGGAGACCCTTCGTGCATACGTGGTTTTATGCTTTTTCAGATCCCCCTGAGTCCAGCCATGCTGGTTCCCTTTTGGCTGTGACTGCCTAGCATGCCCCGGGCTGAGATGATCCAGTTCCTGGAGGAGTGCTCACGCTGGGAGCTGGCCTATTGGGAGGGGGTTGGGTGAGTTCTTTTCTTTCCTTTCCTTTTTTTTAGATATTTTATTTTTATTAGAAAGTTGGATATACAGAGAGGAAGATCTTCCCAAGTGGCTGCAATGACCTGATCTGTGCCATTCCAAAGCTAGGAGCCCAGATCCTCCTCCGGGTCTCCTACTCAGGTGCAGGGTCCCAATACTTTGATCTGTCTGTGACTGCTTTCCCAGGCCACAAGCAGGGAGCTGGATGGAAAGTGGGGCTGCTAGAATTAGAACTGGTGCCCATATGGGAACCTTGGGCTTGCAAGGCGAGGACTTTAGCCACTGGACTACTGTGCTGGGCCCTTTTTCTTTCCTTTTCAAGAACACAATTAAATGGTGTGGCTTCACAACACACCTCATAGATAAAAATGGGCCGTAGAATCTTTGTGGCTGAGATAGCTGCCTCTTTCGTATATTTTTTCTTTATGATACTATGACTCTAAGTAGAAGTTCAAGAAATTTAAAAAAACACCTTTGAGTCGTTTTTAAGGATAGAAATTGTTAGTAAGTTGGAAAGTATCCCACTTGGGATAGATTCTATTAAAGGATAACCAAAGATGCTACATGCGAAACTTCATCTCACACACTAGTCTTCTTTTTCTTGATGAATTTCATCTTAGGTAGCTCTACATCTACATATTGATATAAACAGTACTCAGATGGTGCTCCAGGACCAGCCAAGAGGACAGTGTATCAAGGTGCTAGATCCGCTTCTGTTATTATCAGCAGAATGGAATCCAAAGCAGTTTTCTTTGCTTATGTGGTTTGGCATTCTAAAATATAGTTCTGGAGAGCTAGAACTGGGGGATCCTCCCCCCAGTCGTGGATGCAATTGACATTTGTGCAGCTGTAAAAATGCCTTCGTGGTAGCCCATCCTGAGGATAAATGGTGAGCAAAACACCCAGTTTTAACCAGGCAGTGAAAATATCCTACAGAACAATAATCTTGATCTATAATTGCCTATGCTCCTGTGAGTTTTCTGTTGATCGTATCTTTCATGTTTCAGTCTTACTCTGTATGGCAGTGCAGTTACCACTACTGCATGCCAGTGTAGATGCTCTTCTGTGTGTGCTTTCACCTCAGCTCTTCCCTGTAGCCTTTCTAGGGGGGCTCATGATTGCATATTATTTGATCACTTGCTGTTTTGTGGCTTCCAACTCTGCCCACGGCCTGCTGACTTTCTGTTGTTCCTTAGAAGTTTGTCTGCATCTCAGTAACTCTGCAGCGTTTCGCACTCTGGTGGTAGAAATCGGGCATCCTCAAGATTACCTCTCTTGCCTTCCATGATCAGAAGCAAAAGATTTTCTGTTGATTGACAATTTAATTTAGTTTCCATTTCTTCATAATTCTTTAAAGCACTAGAGATAGTATTTTATTTTTGTCTTTTAAAAATACACATTTAAACAGAAGCATATTGGCAAATGGACTAACACCTGTACAATGATTCTGTATGATGACATTGAGGCGGGAAGGTTTGAGGAGCCGTAAGTGGGGTGTCTAGGAGACTGGGAGTGACGAGAGGAGATCTCTTTGTGGGAACTGGGCTGAGTCAGGCGCCAGAAGTTTGCAAGAAAATGAGGGGTGAGATTGGGGAAAGTGCAGTGAAACTTCAGGCCTTGGTGAATATGGAAGGATCGTGGAGCAGGAACACTGGAGCGAGAGAACAGGGGGCTGTCCAAAGAGAATTACACAAAATGAGTGGGATAGCTTAGAGAGCTTCTGGTGCCTGGGTTCATGCAGGTGGGTTGCTGATGGGAAGGAGCAGGGGACCACCAGGGTCAGGAGGCCTCCCCTTCTGGGAGCAGTGATGATGCTGTTCCTATACTTCTGGTCATTCAGTGAGGAAATCTACCCATGGCTACTTAGAAGCTGATTTATTTTTATTGAGAAGGCAGATTTGCAAAGAGAAGAAGAGACAAAGATCTTCCTTCCACAGTGGCTGGAGCTGAGTCTCCTTGGGGTCTCCCATGTAGATGCAGGGTCCCAAGGCTTTGGGCATTCCTTCTCTGCTTTCCCAGACCACAGGCAGGGAGCTGGATGGGAAGTGGAGCAGCTGAGAGATGAACCAGAGCCCATATGGGGTTCCAGCGTTTGAAGGGAGAGATTAGGCAATTGAACCATCTCATCAGGCCCCATTTAGACTAGTGTATACATACAAAGAACTAGACACATAGTACAATGTATAACATCCCTAGTAGGGAGAGAATTTTCCATCCATAAGACAGAAACGTTAGTAACACATCTTTGCTTTTTCAGGGTCATGGATTTGTAGCTTTTACTGGACTTTCTGGGAAAGAGGGCTTATATATTGCTGCTTTAAATCACCTTTTCTTAAAAAAAAAAAAATAATTCTGCTTCTGATCTTAAATTCTAGTATATGACTCTCAACCCTTCGGCTAAGAGGAAGAACGCTGGATCCCCAGACAGGAAGCCTTCAAAGAAGTCCAAGACAGACAGCTCTTCGCTCACTTCCCCACTCAATCCCAAGCTGTGGTGTCATGTGCATTTGAAGAAGTCTTTGAATGGCTCTCCACTCAAAGTCAAGAACTCGAAAAATTCCAAGTCTCCAGAAGAACATCTGGAGGAGGTAATGAAGATGATGTCCCCCAACAAGCTGAATGCTAATTTCCACATTCCTAAGAAAGGGCCGCCTGCCAAGAAACAAGGCAAGCTTGGCGACAAACCTTTGAAGGGCAAGGGCAGAAGCAAAGGCATCCTCAATGGACAGAAATCCACAGGAAATGCCAGATCCCCCAAAAAGGGCTTGAAGACTCCCAAAACCAAGATGAAACAGATGACATTGTTGGATATGGCCAAAGGCACCCAGAAGATGACACGAGCCCCCAGAAATTCCGGGGGCGCACCTAGATCCTCTAGTAAACCACATAAGCATCTGCCTCCTGCCGCCCTTCACCTCATTGCCTACTACAAAGAAAACAAAGACAGGGAGGACAAGAAGAGCGCCCTGTCCTGTGTCATCTCCAAGACAGCCCGGCTCCTGTCGAGCGAAGACAGGGCTCGCCTGCCTGAGGAGCTGCGAGGCATCGTTCAGAAACGCTACGAGCTTCTGGAGCACAAGAAGAGGTGGGCCTCCATGTCTGAGGAGCAGCGGAAGGAATATTTGAAAAAGAAACGAGAGGAGCTGAAAGAAAGGTTGAAGGAAAAAGCCAAAGAGCGGAGGGAGAAAGAAATGCTGGAGAAGCTGGAGAAGCAGAAGCGATATGAGGACCAGGAGCTGACTGGCAAGAGCCTTCCGGCCTTCCGATTGGTGGACACCCCGGAAGGCCTGCCCAACACGCTTTTCGGGGACGTGGCCCTGGTTGTGGAGTTCCTGAGTTGTTACTCTGGTCTGCTCCTGCCTGACGCTCAGTACCCTATCACTGCCGTGTCCCTTATGGAAGCTCTGAGCGCCGACAAGGGCGGCTTTCTGTACCTCAACAGGGTGTTGGTCATCCTTCTGCAGACCTTGCTGCAGGACGAGATCGCCGAGGACTATGGGGAGCTGGGCATGAAGCTGTCGGAGATCCCGCTGACGCTGCATTCCGTGTCTGAGCTGGTGCGGCTCTGCCTGCGCCGGTCCGACGTCCAAGAGGAGAGTGAGGGCTCTGACGGAGATGACAACAAGGACTCGGCCCAGTTCGAGGACAATGAGGTGCAGGACGAGTTCCTGGAGAAGCTGGAGACCTCGGAGTTTTTTGAGCTGACGTCTGAAGAGAAGCTGCAGATCCTGACGGCGCTGTGTCACCGCATCCTCATGACGTACTCGGTGCAGGAGCACATGGAGACGAGGCAGCAGATGTCTGCAGAGCTGTGGAAGGAGCGGCTCGCCGTGCTCAAGGAGGAGAACGACAAGAAGAGAGCCGAGAAGCAGAAACGCAAGGAAATGGAAGCCAAAAATAAAGAAAATGGGAAAGACGAAAATGGGCTGAGCAAAACCGAGAGGAAAAAAGAAGTTGTGAAGTTTGAGCCCCAGGTAGACCTGGAAGCTGAGGACATGATCAGCGCTGTGAAGAGCAGAAGGCTGCTTGCCTTGCAGGCCAAGAAGGAGCGGGAGATCCAGGAACGAGAACTGAAAGGTTCGTAGTAGTTTTGGGGGGCAGCGCAGGCAGACTGCTTGGAGGAGGGGAATGGCCTGAGTGAATGGTAGGGTCTCTGGTGGAGCTGGTTACTTCTTTCTGCGTAATAAGCCAGCATTCCTAGGTGTGTCTTGTTTTAATAGGTATATTCAACCTGGCATTCAGCAACTAGTGATAATTTCATGTGATACTGGCATCCTTTTGGGCTCAATAGAGGACCTGATCCACTGGTGGGCATAGTGGAAGTGACACAGGGAGTGACCTGGCACATGATGCCTGACTGAACTGTATTCCTTGGACGAGTTAACCTATCCATGCCTCACGCACTTTGTGAGATTGTTATGGCAACTGAATGACTAGTTATTAAAGACCTAAGCTCAGACCAGTTCAGAATAGTACCCTCCTTTGATAGTATTCTAAAAACTTAAACATTTTGAGCCTTTATGGCAAAGTCAAATTTGAATATTTTCAAAAAGAACTTATTTTGAAATTCATACCATAAATTTTTTATAAAAATTTATCTGAAAGGCAGAGTTACAGAGAGAGAGAGAGCTCTTCTATCCACTGATACAAAGAGCTGAGCCAGGAGCCAGGAGCTTCTTCTGGGTCTCCCACATGGGTGCGGGGGACCCGCAGACTTGAGCCATCCTCGCCACTTTCCCAGGTCATAAGCAGGGACCTAGATTGAAAGTGGAGCAGCCAGTTCAGGAACCAGTGCCCGTATGGAATGCCTGTTCTGCACTCATAGGATTAGCCTGTTGAGCCACTGTGCTGACCCCTTCTCTCTGTGTTTGAAATTTGCTTATTCATTTGGGAGGCAGAACAGCAAAGTGAGAGGAGGAGAGAGATCTTCCATCTGTTGGTTTACTACAACGGCTGCCAAAAACTGTGGCTGGGCCAGAGCAGAGCCAGGAGCTTCTTCTAGGTCTCCCATGTGGGCGCAGGGACCCCATGCACTTGGGCCATTCTCTGTTGCTTTCCCAGACCATTAGCAGAAAGCAGGGTTGAAAATGGAGCAGCCAGGACTCAAATTGGCTCCCGTATGGGGTGTTGGTGCTGCAGGTGTGGTTGAAGCTCTGGCCCTTCTCAGTTGTTCTCTTTGTGACATCAAAGCTGTTCAGCTGAATAGCTGTCCAGTTCCTCAGAACTGAAATACGGCTAATTATGAAATCACTGTTTTATTCATCACCATGTTTTTGGACATCCTTTGATTTTATCTGTTACTGTCATTTGTGAATTGTTAGGAAATTTCTTTGAGATTATTTAAAATATTTAAGTAGGAAGCTAAAATTTGGAGAGACAAAATTTTGCCTTGAGTGGACAGGTGAGACTTCCCCCAGACCGAAGGTGGAGGCCAGGGAGACTGCTGTGTCGTGTGTCATTTGTCACAGCAGACCCTTTTCAAGTGGCATCCGTAAGGAGGGGACAAATTAATTTTTTGTTTTCCTTGACAGAAAAACTAGAAAGGGAAGCAGAAGAAGAACGGATACGGAAGCACAAAGCAGCTGCCGAGAAAGCTTTCCAGGAGGGCATTGCCAAAGCAAAGCTGGTCATGCGCAGGACTCCCATTGGTACAGATCGGAACCACAATCGGTATGTTCTGCATGTCACCTCTCCTGGGGATTAGGTAGTTGTAAGTGATGAAACTGTGTGTAGTGCTAAAATAAAGTCTTGCTGCTCGGCTTCTCAGTTTGGGGACACTAGTGTTGATCACACGTTTATTGGATATTAATTGTAGTGAATGCTAGGGTAGTAAATGACAACCTTTGAAGATGCCACACATACGAAGCTGAGGTTATGGTAATAGGGGCAACACTAATTGGAGGTTTAAGTACAAGTCCTGTCTCCCTAGTTCCAGCTTCCTGCCAGTTCTCTCTCTGGAGAGAGCAGGTGATGGCCACCCATGTGGGAGACCTGGGTAGACATTCCCACTCCTGGCTTTGGCTTTGGTCCACTCCAAGCTATTGTGGGCTTTTGGGGAATAAACTCCTAGATGGGCGATCTCTGTCTATTTTTCAAATAAACATATAATGTCCAAATAGAAATCTTTAATACTGTCCATTTAGTTTAAAGGCATACATTGTGTGGTACCCAAAGGCAGTGCTGTACTGCTGTTGTATGCTTTGTTGTGTCTTGTGGTTGTGATGCTCTGTGGCACTCTACAGTCCTAGTCTGGTGCTGCTTTAATTTGTGACTGTGGTTTGTAGGTACTGGCTCTTCTCAGATGAGGTTCCGGGATTGTTCATTGAAAAGGGCTGGGTGCATGACAGCATTGACTACCGATTCAGCCATCACCGCAAGGATCACCCAGACTCCGCTGAAGAGGATTACTGTCCCCGCAGTAAGTGTGTCCACCACAGGTGCTCCCTTATTTGATAAGGTTATGTCTCAACCCAAGCACAGGTGAGAACAGGAGTTGAAGGTCACCTTCCACACAGTACATTGTGAAGTGTCGCATTTACTGGGCTGCCACAGCCTCATTGCTCCGAGGCAGCTGCCTGGAGCTGTGAAAGCATACCACCCAGCATGTCACCTGCCAGGGGAAGGTCCAGATACTCAGCATAGCTATGACCACACAGGTCACATTCCACCTTCACAGTGTTGGGAAGTTGTTCAGTGGAACCTGGGGCAATAAGGTGCTGCCGGCAATTATCCTACCGGCTCAGAGAGCTAGTGTTAGGGACTGCCTTCCCTCTCTCCTCTGTCATTTGCAAAATTTCTTTTAAAGATTTTTGTTGCTTTGAAAGACAGTCATGCAGAGACTGGGCAGTCTTAGTTACCTTCTTAGCTGGATGGGTGGGTATGAGATGGTGGGTATGACAGTTTGGGCCAGCTCACTCTTTGTTGTGGCAGCTGTCTGGGTGTCACAGAATGTCTGGAAGCCTCCCTGCTCAGACTCCCCCCGACCCCTGCTCAGGTGCCAGTGAGGAAAGCAGACCTGACACCACATAGTGCCACGGTCTCCAGGGCAATCAACACATTTCCTTTCAGCTCTTTGAGTAGCTAAATCGAAGTACCTCTTAAATCATTGTTTGATAGATGTCCTTTTTAAAATTGGTTTATTTGAAAGATAGAGTGACAGTAAAAAGAAGCAGAAAGACCTTCCATCCTCTAGCTTCAACAATAGCTTCCTATTTTGGCTTCAACAGTCAGTGCTGGCAGTGGACCAGGAAGAACACACTACCTGAGCTTCCCGTGTGAGTGGCAGGCACCATGCACACTTGACCTGCTGCTGCTTTCCCAGGCACATCAGCGGGGAGCTGGATTGAAAGTGGGGCAGGTGGGATTGGAGCCAAAGCTACAAAGTGGCAGTTTGTCTGGCTACACTACAATGCCAGCCACTACTGCTTTTTTTTTTTTTTTTTTTTAAGGTTTTTTATTTTATAGAATTTTCTAACCCAAACTTCAAACTCACAAAGTTGTTAATAAGAAAGTTTATTTTTTAATGTAGTTAGAGCCTGTTTTTCATGTTTAATTACATATGCTAAACATAGTTTGTGTCACATCATAGAAAAATCTAGTTTGGTAGACTTTGACAATAACCCAGCTGAGGGCAGGATGAGGATACTAACTGTAGAGTCAGGATCGTCAGGCTGGGGAGATTACTGGGATCCTAAGGGACTTGGATTTGTAGATTTCAACAGTCTAGTGGTATTCCTTGGAAGCCAGCTCTTTCTAGCTTGAGCCCTTTAAGAACACGTTTTCAAGTATCTGCTTCTAGAGCATTCTTGTGGATATTGTTGTTTCATGATTTTACTTCCAGAATGGCAGTATTTTTGTAGTTATGTACTTAGTGCAGCTAAATGAGATTCTGCGTTAGTATTGCAGGTTTAGGAGGAAGGGAAGGAGAGCCACTTGTTATGTTAAGACATCAACTTTTTTTTTTTTTTTAAGATTTATGAATTTTTATTACAAAGTCAGATATACAGAGAGGAGCAGAGACAGAGAGGAAGATCTTCCGTCCGATGATTCACTCCCCATGTGAGCGCAACGGCCAATGCTATGCCGATCCAAAGCCAGGAGCCAGGAACTTCTTCCAGGTCTCCCACACGGGTGCAGGGTCCTAAGGCTTTGGGCCGTCGTCGACTGCTTTCCCAGGCCACAAGCAGGGAGCTGGATGGGAAGTGGAGCTGCTGGGATTAGAACCGGCGCCCATATGGTATCCCAGCACATTCAAGGCGAGGACTTCAGCCTCTAGTCCACCGTGCCAGGCCGCAGGCCTCAACTCTTTGCATGCCCTGTGGTGGGCTTGAGACATAGCTATACGGGGACCTGTGTCATAGTGTAGCCACGTAACAGATAATGCAGACATCCCATATAGGCTGTGTCTCAGCTGTTTCATTTCTGGTCCAACTCCCTACTAATGACCTGGAAAGAACAGTGTGGGAAAAAAAAGCCCAAGTGTTTGGATTCCTACCACTCACATGGGAAACCTGAATGAAGCTTCTGGCTGCTAGCTTCAGTCTGACCCAGTGTTGGCTGCTATAGCCATCTGGGGAGTGACCCAGTGGATGGACAGTCTTGTCTCTTGTGCTCTTTGTAGCTCCGGCTTTTAAGTAAATAAATAAATCTTTTAAAAAGTATCTGTATGAATGTTGTGGATTACAAAAATGTTAATGTGTCCTTTGCTGTTGGCTTGGGAGTATGAGTCCTTGTCAAATGGTGTAGTTGTCTCTGTAGGTGGCACCTTTCCTCAGAGCAGTGCTAGCAGTCTTCATTTGCTTTGGTAGAAAGCTGTCGTTCCCGTTCTGAGTTATTTTGCCATTGAAATGTTGGATTCCACAGTTCTTCAGCTGTGCCTGCACAGGGCGAGTAGTCAGTGCTCTCGGATTTGCTGTGGTGTTATACGTTCACAGATCCTGAGCTGCAGATATCATGGCAGAAATGCACTTAATGTGCCCCGTTAGTGACGTGGGGGAGTAGAGACTGTGTGGCCTGGCCAGCTTTGAGCTGCACTGCTGCCTGGTGTGCAGAGCATGCCCAGGAAAAGTGCAGGAGTCGAAGTGTGCTTTCTGCTGGATGCATATTGCTTTCACACCTTTGCAGAGTCAGAAATCTGAGGTTGAACCATCCTCAGCCAGAAACCATTTGCATCTTAGATAATGTGCTGTGTCTAGGTTTAGAACTAAAAATTGAGTATTTCTTTCATCAGGCCTGTTGTATACTTTTTTTTTTTTAAGGTAAGAAAGCAAACTTGGGCAAAAATGCCGGTTTGAACACCCATGGACCAGCAATAGAAATTGCTGTGGAGACCACCATCCCCAAGCAAGGACAGAACTTATGGTAATGTGAGCGTTCTGGCTGCTACTTTTCCTTTGAAACCTCAAGGAGATGTTTACAGTAGTGACAAGTGATAAGAAGGTGTCTGTTGGAACTTGGTGTCGTAGATGACAGATTTTACGAAACAGTAAAAAGTGCTCTTGAATCTAGGAATGAAAAAACTCAGCATTTTCCTTAATTAAATTAAAATTTGTGCCTTCAGTGACTGAATTATTTCTTGTTTGCAGTTCTGTAATACATAGATTGAGTTAGGATACATTGATACAACTTGCATATATTTAAGAGTTGAAATATAGCTACTCCTCGGTGCGGAGGGTTGCAGGAATTTGGGAGGGTTCCTTCCGGCTGTGGCTGCATTCACTACTGTGACTGTGACGGCCTTTGGTGGAACGGGCTTTGCTCTTTGGGATTTGAATGTAGATTTATATTTTGAAAGTGTGTGACTACATGTTTATAGCAACTTTACGTAAAAGTTTTCTCCTGTTGATGGAAACAGTAAGTTACTATACTTGTGGAGATCAGCCCTGTTTGGAATTCCGTTCTAAACCCTCGGACCAGTCCTAGATCTCTTCCTTCCTTTCTGGGTGTTTCTCCCAGGTGACTATGTCTGTGTTGCCTCTGCAGGTTTTTGTGTGATAGTCAGAAGGAGCTGGACGAGTTACTGAACTGCCTTCATCCTCAGGGAATCAGAGAAAGTCAGCTGAAGGAGAGGCTGGAGAAGAGGTACGGGTGTCCTCTGCCCAGCGCTTCCTATCCTTGAGGCAGATGGTTTGAGGGGTTTTGTTTCTGGTTTTCACTTATCCTTCGAAGGTAGTAAAACAAAGTATGTTATGCTTCCGTGTGATCGCTCGGCTTTTTCTGGGCATGTCATGCTTGGAAAAGACACTCCACCACATCTGATCAGGTGGCAAGAGCATAGGTGGAGTGATGCAAGTGTGACCAGGCTGTTGTCATCAGGCAGTCCTGGGGACACACCGACAATGCCCTCAGTTGGTGGGTGGGTTCACAGGGCATATCTAAGCAGCTGCAGAGGGGGTGACGTGGGGGAGAGCCTTGAACACATGATGTAAGGAGCCGCACCCCAAGCGCACATCGTGATTGCACGTAGACCAGTGCCTAGAAACAAAGTGGATGAGGGCTTGGTAGGGGCTGGGCAAGAGGGACGCACTGGGAGTGACAGGTGCTGAGAGCTGTTAGCCCTGTTGGGGTCATGGGAACGTTTTGGAATTGTGATGATTTCACAGCATGAAAACAAATGAAATGTATGCTTTAAAATGATGAGTTTTGCATTAAATGAATTATATCTTGTTTTAAAAAACAAACTTGTTCTATCTATCAAATAGTATTGACTCCATCTACATTGATAGTATCTTTTCTGTTTAATCAACGTTTCTGTCAAAGCCAAGATTTTGGCTGCAGGGCTCTTCTGAACACATAATTGTTTTCATGGCTGAATTTAGGTTCCAAGAGAGAAAGGAAACACCCTTTAGGACAGACTGCAATAGTGCTGACTCGGGAGCCATAGCAGGCACGTCACTGGTGTGATTCAGACTTGAAGAACGCACGTGCAAGAATGACTTTACCTGCCCCACCTCTTGTAGGTACCAGGACATTATTCACTCTATTCATCTGGCTCGGAAACCGAATCTCGGACTGAAATCCTGTGATGGCAACCAGGAGCTCTTAAATTTTCTCAGGAGTGATCTCATTGAAGTTGCAACAAGGTTACAGAAAGGAGGACTTGGCTATGTGGAGGAAACATCCGAGTTTGAAGCCCGGGTAAGAATAGGAGAGGGTGCTGTTTGGGAGCTGCCACTGCTGGAGGCTCAATTTGGAGTGGGGTCGGATTGTTTCCTGGTGACCGTGGAAATCATGTTTGGGTTTTGTGGAAAGGCATGTATGGAACAAGCAGCCTTCCGTGTGTATGTTTTGCATCATCTTCTCTTGGTATCTAGGAAACATAAGAGTTGGTGTAGAATCTTTGTTCAAGATGAGCTTTTCAGTTAAGTTGAATGGGAAGCTGGTTGTTGCTGTAAGTGTGTTAACAGTATTCGGTGCGTCTGGCCCTGTGGGGTCTGCGCTTTGGCCTGGGTGCTGCACCTGTATGTCCCCCACACCACCAGCACAGGAGAGTCAGCTGATGCTGGCGCCTCGTGCTTTAAGAGAGCCCGTTTACTGCACAGATAGACCCCTGGGCAGTGTTGCAGAGACCCACACTGGACACATTTAGAGACTGGAGAGAAGGCCGGAGAACACTGCCCATCAGTTACCCTCCTAAAGAGTTATTTACTGCTTGGAAAGCTTAAAGTCTGCATCATCCCACACTGTAACATTTATGTCTTTTCATATTAATAATATTAGTCTATATCTATGGGTTCTGCATCCATGATTAGGCCAACTTTAGATTTAAAAAAATTTTGTAGGAAAACCAGCCAGTACTGAAGATGGACAGAATTTTTCTGTGGTGCCGATTCCCTGAACAGTGCACTGTGACGGCTGTTCACACACATCCACACTGTGCACGTGTTAGAAGTCGGCTAGAGGTGATTTCAGTGTTGGCGAGGAGGTGCGTGGGTTTTATGGAAGGGATGTTAGCACCCACAGATATTAGTGTCTGAGACCTGGGCCAGTTGCCTTGTGGACACTGAGGGGCCACGGCGTTCATTGTGGTCTATGTGTTCTCAGAGTTGGTGTGGTCTTTGTGACGTTATGTCCCCCATTTCCCTTAGTTTATAAATGTATTCAATACATTTATACATATATATATACATACACGCATATATATTCTATGTAATCTGTTTCATGAGAACAAATAAATTATGTGCATATTCACCACGTGGCTTTATACACACACACACATTCTCTAGAACAAAAATGATTTCAGTATATTTATGGTTCTTGATGATGTTTTGAAGTTATTTGACCCAAAGGATTCTGTCTCTTTTGTCTTTTCCATGAGTGACTGGCCCTTTTGCCATGTGGATCTAGGTTGACTTGAACTTAGCTTGGGATGGAAGATCCTTACACCTTTCTCTCAGCCTTCCCTGAATCTCTTTTAATTTCATTCCATGTAGGTCATTTCATTAGAAAAATTGAAGGATTTTGGTGAGTGTGTCATTGCCCTTCAGGCCAGTGTCATAAAGAAATTTCTCCAAGGCTTCATGGCTCCCAAGCAAAAAAGAAGAAAAGTGCAAAGTGAAGACTCAGCAAAAACCGAGGAAGTGGACGAAGAGAAGAAAATGGCAGAGGAGGCAAAGGTATTTAGTCCTGCAGCTGTAGTGTGTGATGGTGTTTTACTACAGTCATAACCCTGTGCTTTTTAGCTGCTCTGAGCTCATGTCACAATTTTTCCCTGCTTTATAATTTTCTGTAACATGTGATTTTCAAACTGGTATATGGACAATAGAATGGCTGTATCTCCTAGCCCCATTCTCTAAGCACAACTTAATTCTATTTCTAAAAGATGGTAGTGTTGGCTTTAAAAATCTATAATTTGTGGCAAAATGCACCAAATGTATCATTGACCACTTTCACATGTGCAGTTATGTAGCTGTTGGCACCATCCTTCTCCAGCACCTTTTGTCTTCCCAAAATACTGTGTCTGTTGGGCACTAGCTTGCCACTTGCCCCTCTGCAGCCGCCAGCTCTGCTTTTTCCCACTTTACAACTTGACTGCTCTAGGTCCCTCCTGCAGTGTGTGGCCTTTTGTGGCTGCCTTTTTGCATTCAGCAGGTCTTCAAGATTTGTGTCGTAGCACACATCAGAATTCTTTTGTAAGGCCAGTTAATATACTGTATGTAATAATTGTTGATATATTCACACTTCACTCTGCTGGACACAAGCACAGTGAGGTTTTGGGCAATTCTTGGCCAGTACCACTTGGTCCCATGATTGACCTCCACACTGCTTGAACTGCTTTAGGTCTACCTGGTAAGGGATGTGATCCCACAAGTTGTTTTCAGTTCAGACACTCCTGTAGCCATCTTTCGCTGCTTACAGGATGAAAGTTTGCACAGTCACTCCCCTCTCAGGTTTGATAGTTTGCTGAAATGGCCCTCAGAACTCACGAAGGTGTTTTTTGTAGGCTTACTGTGTTGCCATAAAGGCTGCAGTTCAAAAACAGCCAGACCTAGCATGGCCAACAGAACAGCTATACCCTTTCTGCCCTCTCCGCTCCACCAACACCCAGATGTGTTCATCACCCCGAAACTCGCCCTGCCTTGCCATGCAAGAATCATGGAGCTTGAACCCCAGGGTCCTTGTTTTCTTCTTCCCTGGAGGTCAGGGACAGATCTGCAGAGTTGCAGCTGTCCTTGCCTGGGTCTTTCTGGTGATCAGCCTCATCCTGAGGTTATCACGGGGTGGGGGAGCACCCTAGGTCATCCTGCAACATGAACCCAGGGGCGATCAGAAGGGCCCCTACAAACACCAGAAGTTAGTCCTGGTAGGACGTGCCAGGAGTGTTAAGACCAAGGACAGCAACCTGTATGTTGCTTTCTGTACCATGTAAGCATGTGCTGTGCTTGAGCTCCCGTCTGCTGATGGGGCTACTGCCTTTCAGCTGTTGTGGGCAGTGCTGCTGCATCTCTGAGTGAATCGTTGGGTCATATGATCACTTGGTCTTAATGTTTTGACAGACCACCTGGATATTTCCCTCAGAGGCCAACCGTCACACACACATTAGGGTCCTTGTGTCTCTACATCCTCACGGCACTGATGGGTTCTGAGTGCTTGATGAAGTGGCATGTTGTTGTGGTTTGTTTGGTTGGTTGGTTTTAGGATTTATTTTATTTTTGGGCCTGGCAGCATGGCCTAGTGGCTAAAAGGCCTCACCTTGAATGCACTGGGATCCCATATGGGCACCGGTTCTAATCCCAGCAGCTCCACTTCCCATCCAGCTCCCTGCGTGTGGCCTGGCAAAGCAGTCGACAACAGCCCAAGGCCTTGGGACCCTGCACCCGTGTGGGAGACCTGGAGGAAGTTCCTGGCTCCTGGCTTCAAATCGGTGCAGCACCGGCCGTTGCACTCACTTGGGGAGTGAATCATCGGACGGAAGATCTTCCTCTCTATCTCTCCTCCTCTCTATATATATCTGACTTTGTAATAAAAATAAATCTTTTAAAAATTTTATTTTTATTAGAAAGAATAAAATTTTTAAAAAAGAAAAGACAGGAAAATCTTCCATCCATTGATTCACTCCCCAAGCAGCTGCATCAGCCAGAGCTGAGCTGACCCAAAGCCAGGAGCCAAGAGCTTCTTCCAGGACTTGCGGCACTGATGGATTCTGAGTCCTTGATGAAATGAAGAAAGGATTTAAAAAGGGGGGGGGGGAGATCCTCCACCCAGTGATTCACTCCCCAAGTGGCCGCATTGGCCAGAGCTGAGCTGATCCAAAACCAGGAGCCTGAAGCCTCTTCCAGGTGTCCCACATGAGTGCAAGGTCCCAGGGCTTTGGGCCATCCTTGATTGCTTTCCCAGGCCACAAGCAGGGAAGCAGTGTCGCCAGGATTAGAACCAGTACCTGTATGTGATCCTGGAACATGCAAGGCAAAGACTTTAGCCACCAGGCTACCGTGCTCAGCCCAGATTTATTTATTTATTTATTTATTTATTTATTTATTTATTTATTTATTATTTGAAAATAGAGAGATCAGATCAATCTTCATCTGTTGATCTACTTCCCAGATGGTCACAATGGTTGGATGTGACCCGAGAATCAAGAACTGCCACCCCAAGTGGGTGGCAACGGTATTTGAAAGTAGAGTTACAGAGTAAACGAAGAGACAGAGATTTTCCATCCACTGATAACTCCCCCAAATAGCTGGAACAGCCAGGGCTGGATCAGACTGAATCCAGGAGTCCAAGATCCAACTTGATACTCCCACGAGGGGCAGGGCCCAAGTGTGTCAGCAGCGAGCTGGGTGGGAAGTGGAGCAGCTAGAACTTGAACCAGTGCCCTTGTGGAGTATCAGTGCCAACTGCAAAGCTTTGATTCATTGATGAATTTAAGTAGTTGGTTCCCTGCCACTTCTGTGGGAAACTTGGGTTGAGTTCCCTGCTCCTGGCTTCAAGCTGGCTCGGTCACGGCTATTGCAGATATTCCTGGGATAAACCAACAGATAGAAGATCTGCCTCTTTGCCTTATTAATTAATTAATTAATTAATTAATTAATTATCACCTCCACTTTGTGTCGTATATTAAATTTCAACTAAAGAATACTTAGCACAGGAAAGCATTTGAAGATTCTGCATCATAGGCAAGTCCCAGCCCTCATCTTACGTGGAATGCTTGTCCTTGTTTTAGATTCTCTGTCTCTCCCTTCCTTCTGGCCTGCGGAGGTTGTAGGGAGCTCAGTAGCAAGCCCTGGCTCCTTGCCCTCCAGAAGCTCTGCCTATGTGCGAGGCTGAGGAGCAGGAGAGAGCTACAGCAGACCGACAGGTACTGATGGAGAGAAGCCTCCTCAGGCTGTCCTCAAGGGAGGCACACCCAGGGCAGATGGACCTTTCCAGAGGACAGGGCTTCGAAGGAAAAGGGAGTTGGAAGGGTCAGCACTGACTGGCAGAGGAATGGAGGTGTCACTCACTGAGAGCTGGCACTCACCTTGTTGGCCAATTCACACAGAAAACGTCTGCCCTGCCTCTCTGAGCCCCTAGTCTGGCCTGGTCTGGGGGCCCCTGGGGGTCCGTGGAGAATGAGACGTGAGCAGGTAACGCATTATGCATTGGCTTCCGGGCTCACCTGTCATGTGGCTGCTGGCCTAGCTAAGCAGCTCCACAGAAGGCCAGGCTGTCTAAGTCACTCTGCTCACGAGGCCTGCAAGGTGCTACAGAAACCTCTTCCATGACGGGGCCCTTCCAGGCGACCTCTCCTTGTCTCCTGCGGCAGAGCCCCCAGGCTTGTCAGCAGAGGTTGGCTCTCAGCTCAGCTGCGGCCCTCCCGAGGCCTGGAGGTGCAGATGGAACGCCTGGAAGAGTGTCTCGGAAAATCCGTTAGGCGGCCTACCGAGTCGGGCGCCGTGTTCCACACCAACAGGGCATTGTGCCCTGCCCTTCCCACCCAGAGCCAGAGTCACCACAGCTGTGGAATTTTCCAGTCCTTTGCTTTGAAGGTTTCCACTTAACAAGGGCCAGGAATGTCTCATCCCTGTTGCATAAACTAGTATCAGTCTCTAATCTAGGCTTCAGTTTCCTTATTTGCAAAAGCAAATTATCTCGAATATTTGATGGCTTATTTTTCCTTGAGTAAAGTGGGAAAGACAAAACCTAGTGGGTGGTTTGGCAGAGTCCTGGGCTTTGCTGGGCTCTGTTTGTGTTGATTGCATTTATCTTGATGGCTTTATTGTCTGTTTTTCCATTTTAAGTGGTCTTCTGTGGGAGACCGATGGGAGGCTGCTAGTGTCCCTGCCCGCACAGGCTAGCTGCCCTTCCTAGTCAAGCACAGAGGCTGCTGGGACCGGGCGTGACCACACCTGTGTCTCTTGAAGTACTGCTGAGAACCTGGCTGCCAGCGGGCTTGGGTTTCCCACCCAAAGTGTATCTGGCTCCCAGTATCAAGCACTGCAGCACAGAGAGCTTTCACAGGCTGCCCCTGGCCCTGGGTATTACCTGGCTATTCAACAGTTCTTTTTTTCTAATTCTCTTCATTAAATTTTATTATTATTATTATTTTAATTTGAATGACCTTTCATCTGCTGTATTGCTGGGGAACTTTGGACATAGTTTCTGACCATGACAAACACCAAGTGAAACTTATACAAGCATCTTTACTCTGAATAGCTGAAACATTGGAGCAGTCCAGGTGTCCATCAGCTGATGAGTAAATACAGTGGGCTATTACTCCGCAATAAAATAGGATGAAGTGTTGTGCTGTGTACCTGATCCTAGTGTACCTGACTCGGTAAAAGAAGCCGTTAGCAAATGGCCACCTATTATATGATCGTTCAAAATGCTAAGAAACAAGTCAGGTTAAACAGGTTCATTTCCATAATCTCTTCATGTTTAAAAATAATCTAATGAGGCCAACTGAACTGTTGGGTGCCCACAATTGAAAGCTTGCAGGAAATAATCTGGAAGTGAGAAGCTGTGCTGTGTGAGGCATTAGGACTGTTCCTGGGCACTGGTATGCACTGTGGCTGACTGTCCACTAGAGGACAGCAGAGTCCACGCCTAGCCTATCCATGCCTGTGGACCCAGTTGGCAGAGGTTTGAGTTGTTCTTACACAGTAGAAGCACCTGCAGTGTTCTCTGGCAGCTGAGCACTGACTGCACTGTCCACAGCCCTGAGGAGCTGCCGCTGCAGAGGGAAGAAGCAGGGGCGGAGCTCTCTGTCGGGGAGGTTGGAATAAGGAGTGGAGTGCTGGCCAGGTAGTGAGGGCAACGGGCAGCTGAAAGCACTTGTTCTGACGGACGGAGCTTAAGCGAGAGGACACAGCCTGTCGTGTGCCCTTAAGCTGGCCTTTTCTCCCTGGGAGAACAGCACCCCCTCCTGGCACTGTTGACATGGGCATTGCACTTGGCTGAGTGTATGTTTTATGGAGAAAAGGGGGTGCATTCCTAATTTACTCCTGTAACCCGCCATGCTGTATAAAGCACGCCCCCAAGTCTATCTGCGTTGTTGGATGTGGGCTGGGGACGAGGAGAAGCAGTGCGCATGGGTTAAGGCCAGCATCCAGGGTGGAGTTAGGCTGCTCTGGGACCTCAGAATTTCCGATTAGTTGAAAGTGACACAAAAGGAGCGCTCTCTGTAGGGTTTGTGGATGGCTTCATAGATGTTACCACCTCTGGGCCTGTGCTGGGGACTCTGATGTGGATTGGTGCAGAATCAGGTTTGCCAGTTGCACACTAGCGTGTATAGTACATACAAATTCTTACTTTTACATGATGCCAAGTCTCTTTGTGGAGAGGAGACCCATGCTTTCCCTTTGGCAAGTTTGCACTGTCTCCTGTAGTGACCCACATAGGGCTGGGGAAGCACCTGTTCTCTGCTCACGGCATGTTTCCCAAGTCCATCCTCGCTTGTCTGTGTTCACTGTAGTAACAGTGGCCTGCTGTGTTCTCTGTTCAGGTGGCGTCTGCCCTGGAAAAGTGGAAGACAGCGATCCGGGAAGCCCAGACCTTCTCCAGGATGCACGTTCTGCTCGGGATGTTGGATGCCTGTATCAAGTGGGACATGTCTGCAGAAAATGCTAGATGCAAAGTCTGTCGGAAGAAAGGTAGAGTTAGAATTGTTGATCTGGGTGTGTTGGGGAGGGTCAGGATTTTCTCCCCAACTGTGGTGAGACACATTTGACTTTCTGCTCACATGTCACCTGACTGACTTCCCAGGAGCCAAAGTTGCTTTGTGAGTTGTTAAAGGTTTTAATTTGCAAGGATGAAAACGTCATATAAAGGATGGGGAGTGGAGAAAGCCGTGTCTAGTAGATTTGGTTTATCTTCAAGTAAGAAAGCCAGATGGAAGGCAAGTGGCTGCCTGGGAAGCGGGAAGGTGTTGTGGGGTAGGGGAGGGGGGTGTTAGAAGAGCAGGCCTACTTCCGGTGCTCCAGGCTTTCCAGCTGTGCGCCACTCCCCCCACTCCCTCCAGTGAACCTTAACCGGCCAACCACTTGACGGTGTAAGCTGGAGACCTGAGCCTACGTTCCCTGCTACATTTCTTTTCAGAAAATGGCTACCTGAGAACAGGGCCTGGGTCGGACCTGTTGAAAATGTGTGTTGCTGTGTGGTGGTGGTAGTGGGGATGCCCAGTGATTTTTGCCGTGCCCCTCTTTCTGCAGGGGAGGACGACAAGCTGATCCTCTGTGACGAGTGCAATAAAGCTTTCCACCTGTTCTGCCTACGGCCGGCCCTCTACGAGGTACCCGAGGGCGAGTGGCAGTGCCCAGCATGCCAGCCAGCCACAGCCCGGCGCAACTCCCGCGGAAGGTAAGGAGTCTTTCTTTTTTTAAAGAGGAATCTGTTAGCTGTGAGAGTGGAGCTCCGGTGACTCAGCCCAGATGGCCATGAGGAACTTTAAGTTTAGGGTCTTGGTATAGAAGCCAATCCTTTTAGTCCGGATCCTGAGGGTGGTGGTCTGCCCTCACCTCCGTGGTGATGGGCCAGCTTTTCATTGCCAGCCATGCTTGGCCAGACCATCTCAGTAATAGTACTGCAGGGAACTCCCAGAAAATCATTTTAATACAAAAACTTACAAAATGTGGGCAGAATATATCCATTAATACACATTTCCCATGAACTGTCTGGGTCGCTCTCACAGTGCTCCCTGCATCCCGCTGCATGTTGCCCACATGATGCCTTCATGTGTAGAAACTGGCCGGTGCTCATCACCTCCCCCACATGTATCCCCTTACCTGTCACGACTAGAGCGAGGCTGTGAAGACCTGCCTGGTGTTACGTGGTCATTAGTTTACCGGTGTGATCAGTCCCGTGTCCTGAAGTCTTGGGAACCAGTCTTCTGCCTTCTGTTCTAGGGTCAATTGCCAGGGCCATCTTTCCATTACCTGTCCTAAACTCACTAGCCTAACTTTTTAAAGATTTATTATGAAAGTCGGAGTTTAAGAGAGATCTATTTACCGGTGCACTGTCCACATTGTCACAATAGCCAGGGCTGGGTCAGGCTGAAGCCAGGAGCTTCATCCAGGTGTCCCATGTGGGTGGCAGGGACCCAAACACTCAGACCATTGTCAGTTGCTTTTCCCAGGCCATTATCAGGGAGGTGGATCAGAAAGGGGAGCTCCCAGGACACAAATCAATGTCTATATAGAATCCCAGTATCATAAATGGCTGCTTGACCCACAATGTAACCATGCCAGCTCCTGGCCAGATTTCTTAAAATTTTTATTTCAGGGGCAGAGAGACTGAGTTCTTCTATCCACTGCCTGATTTTACAAATGCCTGTGACTGGGGATCAGGCCAGGCTGAAAACATAGCCTAGGACACCCTCTGCTCTGACACGTAGTTGAATGATGGGCACCCAGAAAGGTTGCTGTCACTGCTGGTTCACTCCCCCAATGGCTGCAACAGCAGGAGCTGAACTGATCCAGAGCCACAAGTTTCCTCCAGGTCTCCCATGTGGGTGCAAGGTCTCTCCCAAGACTTTGGACCGTCGTCTGCTGCTTTCCCAAGCCACAAGCAGGGAGCCTGATGGAAAATGGAGCAGCTGGGATACGAACTAGCACCCAAATGGGATCCCAATGCATGCAAGGCAAGAACTTTAGGCACTAGGCTAGGCTACTGCGCCAGGCGCTGGGTCCCATCCCTCCTCTTTGCCTGAACTTTGAGATTCCTCAGCGCTGACCCGGGTCTTGGTACATCCATTTCCATCGTGTGTGTGTTTTCCCAGCTACTCAGTGTTTACCTTGCTCTCCTCCCTGTTGAGAATCATCTCGCCTGGGTCGAGCACCCCATGGCCTGCCTTAGGGGACTAGGATGGCATCCGTGTGCATCCTGCCTCGCTCAGTCCCATGGCATCAGGCCCGAAGCCCGGAAAGAAGAGGGGTTGCTTTCCTCCCTGAGGTCCCAGGAAGGCCAACGCAGGGCCTCTGAGAGGAGACTTGTAATACTTGTCGAGTTAGCACCACTGTTTCCCATACTGAAGTGGTGGCTCATAGGACCTGTGACTGCGTCTTTTAAAGGGCAGAGCTGTTGGATCTGCCTACACACACAGTCCCTCTGTGCCGTCTCCCTCTGTTCCAGCTACTGGGGAAAGAATGGGGGGGTGGACGGGCCACTCTGAAGTGTTGGGCCTGAGGCCGGCTGCTCCAAGCTGGGATTACCAGCTTTGATCTTGGGGGCATCTGCAAGCTGTTCTTCCTGGAATGGGGCCATCTCGGGATAGCAGCACCTGTCTGGCCGCTGCTTACCCTGCAAGCTACCCGGAGCTGGGGACAGCTCCTACCACCTGACATGCGACGTTATCTGGGTTCCTTTTGTGAGGCAGAGTAAGCAGGTTTTGTGTGGGGACGGTTTGGGTTGCATTTCGATCTTGATTTCTGATGCCGCTGGTTCCTGTCCAAGCCACGTGGGCCTGCTGGAGGCGGGCAGCTGTTGAAACTCAGTTGTTGAACACATGGGGCCACTGGCCTGGCCTAGATTTTGGGTTCTCCCGCCTTACCAGATCTGTCTGTTCAGTCTCCAGCCCTGCTCAGGGCTGTGGCTCAAGCCTTGCCCCCACCCCATGCTTTGTCGTCCTCACAGGAATTATACTGAAGAGTCGGCCTCTGAAGACAGTGAAGATGATGAGAGCGACTCAGAGGAAGAGGAGGAGGAAGAAGAGGAGGAGGAGGAGGAAGACTACGAGGTGGCTGGTTTGCGACGTAAGTCTTGCATTGGCACAGCTCTTCTCTTCCCTGGCTACTCAGGGCAGGGCAGGTGCTACCTCCTTGGTGCCCACTGCCTTGGCTCTCCCTGGAGCCTCCTTTGCTCTCTTTAAAAAGGTTTGTTGAAAAGCAGTGTCAGATCTGTGATCACTGCCCAGATGCCCACACAGCCAGGCTGGAGCAGGCTGAAAGCACAAGCCCAGCTGAGCGTCCTCCACTGCTCTCCCAGGCACAGCAGCAGGGAGCTGCCCTGGAAGTGGAGCAGCTGGGTCTCAGGTTGGTCCTGCAGAGTGAGTTGTCAGTGTTGCAGGTGGCAGCATACCTGGCTGCTCCACAGTATTTTTATTTTCCAATGAGCCTTAAACAACCTCTCTGCGAAAGGTATTCCATATCAATTGGTAGAAAATAGAGGAAGATTTTCCTTTAAAATATCTTAACTTTTGCTTTTTCCCCCTACCTTTTTAATTGTTATCACTCCTGAAGTGGCCACAACAGCCAGGGGCTGGACCAAGCCAGAGGCAGGAACAAGACCTTCGTATTTGAGCCATCACCTGCTGTCACGTGCACGTTGGCAGGAAGCTAGAATAGGGCTGAGGCTTGAACTCAGGTCCTTCCTACAGGCTGAGGCTCAAGGTCAGTTCCAATTGCCCCATCATGGTCAGTGTGTCCAAGAACCTCCTGCACCTCCAGCCACAGTGCACAGGTGCCATGAAGGAGTGACTGCTGGACAGGCTCTGGCAGCTGCTGGGAGCTGCACCTCTTCACCTGCTGCTTCCTCAGTGGAGCAGGCACCACCTGCCAGCGTGGGAAGCCACCACTTCTCTCTGGTGTCTGTCCCTCTGGTGCCTCCATGCCCCAGCCATGCCCGTCCCTGTCCTTCCATTTCCCCCTCCTCTCCGCCCCCGCCCCCCGCCCCCAGTGTTCCGGTCTAAGTCCTCCCTCCTCCTCCTCCTCCTCTCAGTGAGACCCCGCAAGGCGCTCCGGGCCAAGCAGAACGTAGTCACCCCAGCAGCCAGGCCCGGCCGCCGCCCAGGGAAGAAGCCACACCCCGCCCGGCGGGCTCGGCCCAAGGCTCCCGTGGAGGACGCCGAGGTGGATGAGCTGGTGAGTGACTGCCCTCTAACCTCCCCGTCCCTCACTCCCCACCCCGGCTCCAGGAATTTGCCGAGTGACAGGTGGGAACAGAGGCAGCAGCTATGCCCGGCATGCCCTCGGGTGGCCTGCACATGCCGTCTCCTCAAGTTAGCAGTTCGAACTGAACTAAAATAGTTGCCATGTGTCTTCGAGGGCTCTGGGGCCGGGGCTCCACTGTGGGAATGTCCGCAATGCCGGAACCGCACTGGCTGGCGGGGCTCTGCCCACAGTTGTCATGGGAGGGAACGTCCCTTCCCTGCCCCCCAGCTAGTTCTAGACAGCTCGCTTGTGCCTCCCAGAGTCAAAAAAACAAAAGGGATCTTGTTTTCACAGATCCCTTGGGATGGGGCATGAAGCGAGCCACCCGGGACCCGAGGGAGCAGCAAGCTCCTGTTTGCCCAGCTCTGCCCAGGCATCTCTGTGGCTCCTGGGCCTGGGATATCCTGGAGATACCCGACCTCCGCAAGACTGCTTGGGGCACCTGGCTTTGTGTACCTGCAGCACTCCCGTCCTGGGCCCTCCCAGAACCTTCTGATATGCCGCCAGGAGCACCGCAGGCGATAGCCTTGGCGCTGTCAGGTGGTGCTGATGTTGGCCACAGGAGAACTAAGGGCCTAGCTCTGCCTTTGCTCTCACCCATGTGCTGCACCCCCATGCTCTCCCTCTGGACCCTCCCTCAAGACCCCTCTCTCCTGCGCAGGTGCTTCAGAGCAAGCGGAGCTCCCGGCGGCAGAGCCTGGAGCTGCAGAAGTGCGAGGAGATCCTGCATAAGGTAGTCAAGTACCGCTTCAGCTGGCCCTTCAGGTGAGTGCTGCTCGTGAGGGGCAGGGTGGGCTGGCCCTGGCCCTGCAGGGGAGGAAGCCAGCGCATCCAGCTCCATCTGGTTCCCGCCCCCACCCCCAACAGGGAGCCCGTGACAAGGGACGAGGCTGAGGACTACTACGACGTGATCACGAACCCCATGGACTTCCAGACGATGCAGAACAAGTGCTCGTGTGGGCACTACCGCTCTGTGCAGGAGTTCCTCGGTGACATGAAGCAGGTGTTCACCAATGCTGAGCTCTACAACTGCCACGGCAGCCACGTGCTGAGCTGCATGGCCAAGACGGAGCAGTGCCTGGTGGCCCTGCTGCACAAGCACCTGCCCGGCCACCCTTACGTCCGCAGGAAGCGCAGGAAGTTTCCCGATCGGCCTGCGGAGGAGGAAGTGGACAGTGAGCCAGAGCCCGTCGGACAGTCCAGGGGACGAAGACAGAGGAAATAGAGGCGGGGCCCTGCTGAGGGCGGGGGGGTTGGGGGGCAGCAGGAGGCCGCGAGGGAACAGGAAGGGGCAGTGAGACGGTTAAGGGAAGTGGTTGCAGGAGCACCAGCCATGCCCTGGCGCCTCACGCACCCTGGACGACCTGCAGAGTTTTGGGAGAGCCTGACTCTTGGCCGCAGTCATTGCAGGTAGAGCCAGCCTGGGCCCTGCCTTCTGGGTTTCCAAGAAGCGCATGAGTGAGTCCTCTTCCTCTCTTCTCCCTGAAGCCCCTCTGGGCTGCAGGAGGTTAGCTGCATGGCTGGGGAAGGGAGGGTGAGGTTCCAGGCAGCCTTCACCGCTGAAGCCTGCACATCCCACGCCTACTCGCGCCGCACGCAGTCTGTTCACCAGCATCATGGCATGGGGCTCACGGAGTAGAGGGTCCCATCCTGGAGCCGTTCCTGAATACCTCTCCTCTTGGTGGCATGCCTCTCGTTACTGCCACCCACCTCCCCCCTCAACAAAACACAAAAATTAAAAAAAAAAAAAAAAAGACCCAAACAAAGGCACTTCATGGGGACCCGGTGACCTGCTTGTAATCATGCATGCCCCTTTAATCGGCTGGGGCTGCCCGCCGCGGGCGCCGGGCAAGGGGGTGAGGAGAGGCAGGAAGAGCGGAGACGCATACCTTGTTTTTAAATCAACTTTTCTAGTTACTGAAAGTTGCTTGTTTCAGCAGTGACATTGTATAAAGAACATCTTGTAAAATATTTGTCATCTCCCTTCGGCACATGTACAGTATGGTTTATATGATGGCGTGTTTGCTTAACTCCCTGTCCTTGACCCATGTACCACCTGCCCACCAGGAGGCGACACTGGGACTGTCCTGCCTGCCTGCCAGCAACTACAGTGGCTGCTTCCGCCTCTTCCGTCCACATCCCCCTCCTCTGTCCTCAGGGCCAGGAGGGAGGGCCGGGAAAGGCCCCACCAGCCCCCCGGCACTCACTGGTAGTGGGAGGCTAGGCTTGGTGGTCTTCTCTCCTTGATGACAGATTTTACTAGAAATATAGTACAGGGTTTTCTTTGCTTTTCTATCAACCTGGAATCTGGAAGGCTGGAGCCCCTTGACCTTCATGTCTGCACTGCAGTGAAAGGAGCCGGTTCCCTGGTGGGGACTGTGCATGGGGGACTTGGGCGTGAGGCCGCCCAGGGGCAGCCCACATGTCCCCGGGATCCCTTCGCTGGCCCCTGTCCCACAGCCACCGCTGCCTTCCCGCCTCTGTCCTAGATCCAGTCTGTCCTTGTTCGTAGTGCGATTCCTGCGTTCCCACTTAAGTGACACCGGAACCATTTTGTTTTTTTAAGCTGTCCCTAAGGAGGAAGGGCCCCATTAAAGGGTGAACTTGTAATAAATTGGAATTTCAAATAAACATTATGTACTTGTGTTTATAAAGAAACGACTGTGCTGGATTCCTCTCTGTGTTGCCCAGATCTGGTGGCGTGCTGGGAGCCGGGTCCTCCCCAGCAGCTGACCGCACTTGGTTCCTGGCTGGAGGTCAGAGCCATCTGCTGCATTCCTCAACCCCCTGGGAATGAGACATGACCTTCAAGCTCCGCACGCTCCTGTGTCAGGCTCTACCGCAGGGATCTGCATGGGCCTTTATTCTTTCAAAAGATGTGTTTGAAAGAGTGAGTGGGAGAGAACTCTGCTGGTCCATTCCCCAGACAGCCACAGTGGCCACGGTCACAGGAGCCAGGAGCTTCTTCCAATTTTCCCATGTGGATATGGAGACACAGAGCCTTAGGCCATCCTCTACTGCTTTCCCAGGCCATAGCAGGGAGCTGGATGGGAAGTGGAGCAGCCAGGCCTGAATCTGCACCTATACTAGCTATGGCACAATCCCTGCCCCCTGTGTGGTCCTTTCGTACTGAGGGAACTCTTGATTTTGCTTTCAGAGTAAACACTAGCTCATGAGGAAGTCCCCCTGCCATCCAGCTCCTTGCTAACAGCATGGGAGAGCAGCTTGGTTTTCTAGGAAAACTTTCAGAAAAGCAGTGAGTTCTCATATACATGGCATCAATCATGGTGCCCCTGGACTATCCTCACATCCTTGTTTTGAAGTCATGGTAGCTGTGGGCACCAGCCCTGCTTGAGCCCAGGTCCCCAGGAGTGACACATCCAGTCCCTGCACACTAGTACTATGTTGGTCATGGAGGTATGTGTGTTTGGCTCTGGAAGGTTCTCTTGGGCAAGGGGGAGAAGGTGTTTGTCTCCTCTTCCCCACTCCCTGGCACAAACACACACCCTCCCTGCTCTGCCCAGTTTCCCTGGCTGCAGCTTCCCCACTGTGGACAGACCTACCGGAAGCCCCCCTGTAGTTGGGTCACTGCCTGTGAAATGAGGGAGAAGGTCACGGGCAGGGAGTTGGCAGAGTCATGTCCCTTTCCTGCTTGGTTCTCTGCAAGCATCTTCTAGGGCCAGGGAAGCCTTGGCTGGCATAGTCCTGCCCTCCTACGTCTCTTGGCCAGCAGGAACCATCCCAGCTTCCTCTGCCCTGCTGGCCTGGGTGCTCCCCAGCCCATCCCAATTTGCCTTGTGCGTGGCACAGCCAAGCACCAGTGACCCCCCCACACCTCCCCAACTGTGTCCTCAGTGGGCAAGGAGAAGGGGATGAGCAGCTGTGTGGGAAGGCTCGGCTTTCTCCCCACACACACACACACACACACAGCTCCACTGGCCATTCTCCCAGATCTGAAGTTTACCTGTCCCAGCCCCTAATACCTCACCTGCTGAACTGCGGGCCTTCCTTACTACCCCCACTAAGCACCGAGACCCTCCCATGGAGAGTTCCAAAGGACTGTGGTCCCTTGCCTAGGTGGCAGGAAAGGTCACATACGTTTTGGGCTGCCTGCTCTGAAAGTACAGTGCGTCTGCCAGCAAGGGAGCCGGGATCCCTGCTGGACTCTCCGTAGAATCCACTGCCCGATGAGCCTGGTGGCGGATGTGGAGCACAGAATCTGCAGCCTGACAAGCCGTGAGTCTGTGAGCAGTGCAAGGAATGAGCTTCCCCTTCCCTGGAGCCTCCCCTTGGCTGGGAGCAGGGCTGAACCCCGGCCAGGGGCAGGATGGTGGTGGCCTCCCTGGCTCTGACAGTGCTGGTTGTGTGTGAGCAGACACACAGGGACAGCCACCAAAACCCACATGTGGCTGTATGTAGTCTCGGGGGGCCAAGAGGGGCTCTGATCCCAAACAGTCTGGAGTCTCTGGGACAGTCATACCCACTCAGCAGCTGAGCTGCACTGGCACCCAGGTTGGCACATTGCTGTCCCCCACCTCTCCCACTGCTGTCTACTCCCATCTTCCCATGACCATAGCAGTTGGAGACATACCAAGGCCCAAGAGCTGGCTTCCTGTGAATTCAGGTCTGTGCTTCCGGGATGCCCACATCCCAATCCAGCCCCATCTCTGGGACCCACACAGCAAAGGACGAAGGTATAGCAAGGACAGCTGGGTTGGCCCCGGCCCAGTGTCTCAGGTTGGAAACATGGACAGGGCAGGCAAGCAGAGGTTGCCCAAAGGCAAGGTGGCGAGAGGAAGGAGACACCAGGCATTCCGGGACTCCAGTGACACACAGCCTCAAGGTCCCCTGAGAGCCCAGTGACTGCCCCATGCCAGCTCTGTCCCTCCAACCTTCCCTCTTTTCCAGTCCAGAGAGGACTCGGCGGTGCCACACGGGGAACGGGGGCATTTATTCCAGTCACAGCTTCCAGGAAAAAAAATAATAATAAATTACATCATTAAATAAACTTTAAGGTCAGGTCAGGCCCACTTCTGCCCTTCTTTTCTCCCAAGTGCCTGTAGGGGAATCAGGCTGTCCTGCATCCCCCTGCATTAACTGGGGGACACAGACTTGGCACCTCGCTAGATCCTCAGCCCTCCCCCTACCATGTTCCCCTGGCCTGACCTTGACAGCTGGCTGGGGGAGGGGCAGCAGGTGTCACCCCATCCACAGGGAGTGGGGGCATCCAGGCCTATGTCCCTAGAGGTGTGTAGGGTTGTCCAGAGAAGGGTCCGTCTTAGTCATGTGCAATACCACGCTGGGGGCCTTATAGTGGCAGTGAGTGCCCCGCCCATAGCTGCCAGGGGCTCTGCAGGCCTTGGCCCGCGCCCGTCCGGCCGCCATCTTGCGGTGGCATAAGCTTTGCCAAGTCTGAAAAGTCTTAGAGCTCCACACCCAGACACCACTGGTGATGCCTACCACCAGCGACATGAAGATCTTGACCATGAACACAGCCACGGTGGGCACAGAGCCCCCAGGCAAGGAGCAGTCCCGGCGGCCTCCAGGCAGGGTGGCGGCGACACAGGGCTGCTCTGTGGCCCGCAGGCGCCAGAAGTCCATGTTGAGACGCTCATAAACGTAGCAGACAATGACGCAGGTTGCTGGCACGGTGTAGAGGATGGAAAAGACCCCAATCTTGACCATGAGCTTCTCTAGCTTCTCCGTGTTGGTGCCGCCCGTCTTCATGATCTTGCGAATGTGGAAGAGAGCCACGAAACCAGTCAGGAGGAAGCTGGTGCCCAGCACCAGGTAGCAGGACAGAGGTACAAGGACGAAGCCCGTGAGCGCCGCCGTGTCCATGCTGGCCACATAGCACAGCCCCGTCAGCTCGTCCCCGGCCACCTTGCGCAGGGTCAGGATGATAATGGTCTTGAGCGCGGGCAGGCCCCAGGCGGCCAAATGGAAGTAGCTACCATGCGCTTCGATGGCTTCGTGGCCCCACTTCTTGCCGGCTGCCAGGAACCAGGTGAGCGTCAGCACCACCCACCAGAGCGAGCTGGCCATGCCGAAGTAGTAGAGCAACAAGAAGACGAGCGTGCAGCCCGTGCTCTCCAAGCCCTCCTGGATGACATAGAGCGCACCCGCCTCCTGGTCACAGGCCACGCTCTGCGCGCCCGCAACAGCGCGGATGAGAAAGGCAAGGGAATAGACGTTGTAACACATGGAGAGGAAGATGATGGGGCGCTCTGGGTACTGGAAGCGGTGCGGCTCCAGTAGGAAAGTGAGCACCGTGAAGGCGGTGGAGAAGAAGCAGAGCGCCGACCACACGGCCATCCAGACGAGCGCGAAGTCCTTGTCGCGCCGAGACCAGAAGACCTCGACGCCAGGCCCGCAGCGCGGCGCGCACGAGCGGCTTTTCTCTACGTACTGGAACTTCTCCGGGTTCGCACAGGTGCCGCCGCCGCCAGGGCCCGAGTCCGCCGCGCCTGGGCCCACGCCTGCCTCACCCGGGGGTCTGGCGGGCCGTGGCGCCACGGGCAACATGCCCAGCCCCTTGTGCGGCTCAGTGGCCGGGCCGGCCGTGGCGTTCTCCGGCGCCTCCATGCAGAGCGCGTGCGGATCGTTGCGCGTGGGGAGCCGCGCGCAGTCGAGCGAGTCGGGCCAGCCGAAGTTGAACTGTTCCATGATGGGGGCGCAGCGCAGGCGCGCCTGCTCGCACATGGGCCGGCAGGCGGGGATGGGCGCGGACACCTGATCGGTGCACATGGGCGCGTAGAGCGAGCACAGAAAGAAGCGCAGGTGGCCGTGGCAACCGTACTGCACGAGCGGCGCGAATTCGGCCAGCTCGGCGGCCGCCTCGCCCTGCGACGTGTGGCCCAGCAGGTTGGGCATTCGGGTCAGGTTGTAGCCGATGCCGCGGCACATGGGGATCGCCACCGCCTGGCACGGCGCCGGCCCGCGCCCGCGCTCCGGGTCGAAGCGGCCGATTTCCAGCGCCGTGGCCGCCGCCAGCAGCGGCCACAGCAGCAGCGCCGGCAGCGGCAGCGCGGCCATCCCGGGCGGAGCACCTCTCGCCCTCTCCCTACCGGCTCACTCGGGCCGCGCCGTCCCGCGCCCCCGGGCCTGCCCGCCACGTCGCGGCAGCGCGCGGGCCATCGCCGAAGCCACCCACGCACGCACCCACCCACGTGTGTCCGTGCGCCGCCGGGAGAGAGGGGCGTGCGCGTGGGCAGCGCGCGGACTGCCTCCGCCCGAGGGATCGCAGGAGCAGCCGAGCCGCCGCCGCTGTTGCTCCAGCTGCCGCCGCCGCCAGTGCGGGCGCCGTCTGCCCGCGGCCCTGGCTACAACCCCGGGGCGGGGCTCCGGTGTGGGGGGCACGCCCAGGGGGCGGGGGCGCGGCGCCCCAAACACGCCCCCGCCACGGTTTAAAGGCGCAGCATTTTGCAGCACCCTGCGGCACCTTGCTGCACCCGACTAGCGGCGATCTTCACTTTTCAAGTGCCAGCATCCCATATGGACTGCGGTTCGTATCCCGGCTGTTCCACTTCCCATCCGGCTTCCTGCGAGTGATCTGGGAAAGCAGCACAGGACGGCCCAAAAGCCTTTGGAACCCTGCACCCGCGTGGGAGACCTAGAAGAAGCTCCTGGCTTTGGATCAGCTCAGCTCTGGCAATTGTGGCCATTTGGATAGTGAACCAGCAGATGGAAGATCTTTGTCTCTCCTCTCTGTGCATCTGATATGCCTTTCTAGTAAAAAAAAAAAAATTATTTTTTTTCTAATAAAAATTTAAAAGTGGACAGTGGCACACCTACAGATGTCCACACCCCGCCCACTTCCCTTGCCTTCATCCTCTTGGCTATCCCATTTCCTCTTCTCCCCCTCTTCCAGGAGGGTAAACTGAGAGTCAAAATGGCGGGGGTATCCCCTGTCTTCTCCACCTAGGTGATTAGGATCCTAACAAAGTGCCTTGCTCTGAGCCGGGCACTCTGGTGGGGTTCCCAAGAGCGAAGGGCCTAGGGCAGCAGGGGCGGTGCTGGGAAAGGGGCCTGCAGTGTGGTGAGCCCTGGGCCCCTAGCACTCATTACACCAGTCCTACCATGAACTCTGCCCCATTTTATGGATAAGAAATGGAGGCTCCAAAAGTTTGAAATGTCTGTTTAGGGATCCCACAGCTCATAAAGGACACAGTGGGCACTCAAGTTCATCTCTGCCCCGTGGGCCCAGCTCACCAACAACTGCTTGTGATGGAGCCGGAGAGCTATGGGTGAGGACCTGGGATGCAGGCGATGGTGGTAACCGAGGCACAGGCTCCTGAGGATGCTGGGTCCAGTGTACACACTGACCCCTCTGTACCCTTCTCCCCCAAGAGATCTAACACTGGGTCTGTATTAACCACCAGAGGAGCTGCTGTGGGATCCCCCAGGGGTCGGGGGTAAAGGGCAGGGGTGTGGCTTCTTTGGACCCAGCGTTGCCTAGGAGCTGCAGTTCTCCCAGAACAGGTGCTGGGCAGGGCCCCACTTTGCCCCCTCTTCCCTCAGACTCAGAACCCAAGTGCAGGGAGGGACCTGCCTCAGGGCTTCACTACTCCTCTGCTTGGCTTTCGTCCGACACCCCAATCTGAAACATCACCCACATGTCCCTGGACAGGCCGGAAAGTTCTGCAGGTCCCTATGTCCCCTCCATCTGCCCTAGCCACCATGACTGCTCCAGGGCGGCCGTGAGACCGTGAGCTTTCTCTGTTAATCTGGCCCAAGAGGTGCCGGAGATGATTGTAAGATAGTGAAGCTCTGCCCAGCCCCCACGGCCTGGTCTGTGTGTGTTTGGGGGCGGGGTGGAAGCTGTGGAACTGCCCGCCTTTGCTGGGACCAGTGCTGGGGGGGGACTGGCCAGGCAGACAAGCTGTGTGTGTGTGTGTGTGTGTGTGTGTGTGTGTGTGTGTGTGTGCATAGCCACTATGGTGGAGAAGAATTGGGGAGGGGGTGGGAAGGAGCCCTTCCCCTGGCAACTTGGCGGCCAGGAGGGTGCCCCAGAGGCTGTGGGATGCCAGGCCAGTCACCATGGCAACAGCTGCTCCAGGGAAGCCAGGGGTGGGGGTGGGAGGGCCCCGCCCCCACACAGCCACTGCCTGGGAGCAAAGAGGGCCCTGGGGCCGCCTGCCCACCCACCCGGCATTGTCACTGGATCCCCTCTTTACAAAACACAGCAATACCCGTGGAGGCGTTGGCTGAAAGGGAGACCATGAGGACGGGCAGTTCACCCCATTGCTGCCTGCCTGGGCCACCGAGGGGGCCTGAGGCGCTGGCCAGGGCGAGTGCAGCCTCCCTCCCTGGGGTCTTCAGAGGGGTCCCAGGTTCCTTTTACCATCACCTCCTGGACGGCGGCCCTCAGTGCCCCATGGGACACATGCCAGCCCCTCCCCCACTCCCCAGCTCCTCCTCCAGGAACTGCTGCCTGCTCCCCCGCCACACACACAACCCCAGGCTCAGTCCCACAGACCCTGGGGCCCCTGGTAGTGCTGCCAGTCAGACCGCTGCACCTGTGTCTGGCTCCTTGTGAGCCAGGGGCAGGGGGCCTCCCCCTCTGCTTCTGTTCCCCCACCCCTCTTGGCACCTGACCTGGCTTCCAGAAATATCCATTGGTGCCAAGAATGTTGGAGTGAGGGCCCAGTGTTGCAGGCCTAACCTAACGGGAGGTTAAGCTGCTGCTTCCAATGCCAGCATCCCTTGTGGGCGCTGGTTTGAGTCCTACTTGCTCCTTTTCCCATCCAACTCCCTGCTAATGCTCCTGGGAGAGCAGCGGAGAATGGCTCAAGTGCTTGCACTCCCACAGCCATATGGGTGTCCCAGAAGAAACTCCTAGCTCCTGGCTTAGGCCTGGTTCAGCCTTAGCCACTGTGGCAATTTGGAATAATAAACCAGCAGGTAGAATGTCCCGGCCTGCGGTGCCGGTAGCATGGACACGGCAAGGGTCAGGGAATAAGACAGACAGGAGACCAGTAGTGGTGGAAGACGTCTCTCACTATGGCCTCCCTTTATTCAGCCATATATACTTTTCCCCCCAAGCCTCTAGCAGAACAATAGGATGCTAATGAGTCTGACAGACAAGGTGCCACTAGCCTCCAAGCCCATTTCCTGCAGGAGCCAAGCTTAACAAATGCTAATCAACTCCTCAGCCCACAACAGTAGAAGATACCTCCTTTTTCTCTTTAACACTTTCAAATAGGGAAAATAAATAGGGCCAAAAAAAAAAAAAGTCAGAAAAAAAGAGGGGCATAGATCCTTCTAGAAGACACTGAAGAAGAGTAGGGCCTGAGATGGGGGAAGGGCTATTGACTGAACCCTGGAGGTGTGTGTGTGTGAGCGTGTGTGGGGACACACCTTAGGTGTGTGCAGGTGTGCACACACAACCCAGCTGCCCAGCTCTGTGCACAGGGACCCAGAGACAGGGTTGGGCAGGCCGTGGGATGGGGCCAGGGCAATGTTCTCCCGTCCTGCAGCTTGAGCCCTGGTTCTGACTCAGTTCCCCTTTATAGGATGCCAAGGGTTGGACTGCATTGTGTTCAGTGGCTACTAAAGAAGAGTTGCAATTTGAGTATTTTTTTTTTTAAGAGATACATGTTTTGTTTGAGAGGCAGAGTTACAGAGAGAAAAGGAGAGCCAGAGAGCCTGAGGTGGGCCAGTCTGAAGACAGGGGCCAGGAGCTACATCTGTGTCCCCCACACAAGCACAGGTGCCCAAGGCCTTGAGCCATCCTCCGCTGCTTCCCCAGGCACATTAGTAGGAAGCTGGATCAGAAGTAGAATAGCTGGGACTCAAAGCAGCGGGGCCCATTTGGGATGCCAGCGCCACAGGCTGAGGCTTAGCATACTGTGCCACGGTGCCAGCCCAGACTGGACAATTTTCACAAGCTGTTCGACACTGGGAGCCAGCGACCAAGGCTTCCTGGCGGTGCAGCGCTGGTCTTGGGGGTCATCGGTGTGGGGAGTTCGAGGTTGGCATCACAGATACGCCTGCACTGCAGTTCCTCCCCCTCTCTCTCTTACTAGAAAAGTTGTAGCACTGTGCCCATCATGCCCCTTTGGTCTTGCCTAGATGTGTGAAAAAAGCCAAAGGCAATGGTGGGCTCCAGGTGGCGGGCGTTTGTGGGATCACAACACCCAGCGTGCAAATCTTCTTGATATTTTTTCAGTTTTCGTGATGAATTTGAAAATATTTCATCGTGAACATTTTTTCCAAGTCAGTACAAGAGAGGCACAGCTCGTTTAAAAAAAAAAAAAATTGGTTTGTTTATTTGAAAGGCAGAATGGCAGAGAGAACGATGAGAGAGAAGGAGGAGGGAGAGAGAAGCTTCTGTGTGCTGGTTCACTCCCTAACTGGCTACAACAACCAAGGGTGAGCCAGGCTGAATCCGGGACCCTGGAATTCCTTCTGGGTCTCCCACATGGTGCAGGGGCCCAAGCGTTTGGGTCATCTTCTTCTTTCCCAGGTGTTTTAGCAAGCAACTTGCAGGGAACTGGAACACAGTCAGGGCTTGAATCAATGTTTCTATGGGATGCCAGCATTGTAGGTAATAGCTTGGCTCTCTGGCCCAAGATGCAGGCCCCATGACTCATTCTTTCTTTCTTTTTTTTTTTTTTTTAAGATTTATTTATTTGTATTGGAAAGGCAGATATACAGAGAGGAGAAAAGACAGAGAGAAAGATCTTCCATCTGCTGGTTCACCTTCCAAGTAGCTGCAATGGACAGAGCTCAGCTGATCTGAAGCCAGGAGCCAGAAGCTTCTTCCAGGTCTCCCACGTGGATGCAGGGTCCCAAGGCTTTGGCCATCCTCTACTGCCTTCCCTGGCCATGAAGGGAAGTGCAGCAGCTGGGATAGGAACTGGTGCCCATATGGGATCCTGAGGCGTGTAAGGTGAGGACTTTAGCTCCTAGGCTACTGTGCTGGGCCCCAACTCATTCTTTAACAGCTGCATGATCAGGAGTGATTCCGGCAGATCCCCTGTAGGTAGACACGTGGCCTCTGCTGGGTCTCTCGTGGGTCACACAGATAGAAG